GCCAAAATTATTCGTTCTTTGAAGATTATTCTTCGCATGATTTTGTTGGTTCCTCCCTCCCTCTTGCCAGTCGGCTATATAGCTGTGTGCCCTCTTTCTTGGCAGTGAGCTGAAGGAAAGCCATTCCCTCAAGAAAAGGAAGAAAGGTCCAACCACTGGTTTGGTTGGAAAAAAAGAAACATGAAAAAGCTCAAAAACTGGATCCTGATGAAAAGATGAACACAGACTCTTTCACGTCCAACGAGTCCAAACGAACGCGCAATGGCGTCCAAACGCACGGCATCCCAAACGTCGCGCGGCGCAAGCATCAAGCCGAAGCCATGGCGCTTGCTTGAATGTGGTTCTCACGCTTTGGAAATAGGTGCGCGCTTGGAACGAAACACGCAAAAATCACCATGACCCTCCCTCCTCCAACAAACGTGGAAGTGGAACATGACCCCTTCAGCAAAACTGTTTTCCCCGGTTGTTTTCCACTTCCATGTGAGGTTGAGTGAAGTGAAGGCCTCGTGGCCGTTCGGCGTAGCAATTTCCTGGGCATCCCCAACCGTCGATGTTCGTGGCAATTTCCTCCAAAAATCCCAAGGGAAGGTCGGCAGCATCTGCCTTCGTCGCTGTGGTCGCTGTGCGGGCGAATCCTGGTCCTGGTCGTTCTATTCGGTCCAATGGCGCCGAGAGACCCCAAAAGCACCATTTCTGGCCATTTCAGGCAGCAAACAGGTTTAGAGAATCAATGCGGATGAAGCATGACCGAGGATTTATCAGTTCGGACCTGCAAATGTTCGAAAGATTCCTCGTTTCTCATTTCCAGCTTCCAGTCAGCAAACCAGTCCGAGGTTCCAGTCACCCTTCTGTCAATCTGTTGCAAGCTGCAACCACGGGTCCCAAATGGTCCCAAGCCACCATAGTCCCATCAAGAACTAGTCCAAGTCATCGACGAGCAAGGAACAAGCATGACCAGTACGAACAAAGAAGTGTATTCAAAAAAAACAAAACAAGCCGGAGTGACATGGTGTCTGTCGTTTTTTTGGTGACCCCAAAACAGTAATTGTAACTATACTTTGGTGTTTGCCAGGGGTATCAAGTGCCATGAACCACAGCCTGCACGCAATACTCACCCACACCCGCATACTGAGCATCGTACTCGCTCTTCGCTCTGGCCTGGCCAGCTGTCATACTGTTCCGCCACAAATCAAGGGCCCAAGGGGTGGTCTGTTCGTGAAGGGCCCATGGGACGCAGCAGGTGCGACCCTGTGACAGCACTGTGACAGGACGATCCATCACTATACAGGCCTCTTCCAAATCATCCATCACTGCCTGAGGTCGACTCTATGGCGACAGATCCAGGCTTGGTGAAGGGTGACTGTTGCAGCGCGACCCTCATGAACTTCGAGGACTTCCCATGGAAACGTCTGAAATCCCATGAAAACACCTTCCAGGACCCTTCATTATATTGATGGAAAAACCTTGCTCCTTCCTCATCCTTCCTCCAGATGATGTTTTTTTGCTGAATTGGGATGCTCCAGGCTCCAGGTGAAGCAGACATTCGGGGATGGATGGGCATGAGATGAGAGCACACTAGATCTTCCAACTATGCCTTTGCGGCTGGTGTTTGTAGATTGAAAGGCACACATGTTGCATAGTTGGAAGATCTAGTAATATATATCCCATATATCAGTTACCAATCTCCTGAACACATGTGACAACCAATCTGGACCAAAACGAGAACACCATATTCACCATACAAGAACGCTTTCTACGCAGCCGCCAGCACCACATCACTCGTGCCTCTGTCTTCGCCCGCAGCACCTGGGTGTCATGAGCAAGGCCGACCACCGGTCGCGGCCACCGATCCGTTGGGGGTCCAAAGTGGGTAGTTGGATCCGTCAGCGGCGCAATCGAACGGTGAAACACCATGTCTTGCTCAAAAACACTCATTTGCTGAAAACAGACATGAACCTCCTTTCACCTGCTCATCAGCATTTGGGAAGACCATGGAAGTATCTCTCCAAAAATATCTAACCATTGGAGTGCTTCACCTCATCTTCGCAGCTTTTCCCAGCCTTAAAACCCCGCCGGACCCAACCTCTGGAGCGATCAAACCCGACCCGACCCACACCGGCTGTGTCGCCCGGCTCAAGGCCACGCCCAGCAGTCGGAAGACGCCCGGGGGCGGCGGCCCTGCCCCGCTGCTGCGGCACAGCCTCGGTGTGGTGCGGAACCGCGGCAGTCGACCTCGAGGCTTGATCGGGTAGCCCTGTGCCAAAGGCAGGCTTTCCAGCTTTTCCATTCCTGATTTATTTGCTACTAAACTCAAATACACCATCTATAGGAGGCCCTACCTCGTTTAGACTACTTGCCCATGCGCGCTGGATTTCTTGGCACCTTTGCCTAACCAACAAACCATGGGAGTTGAGCTACCGACGGCCGTCCGACGGAGTTGAGAAGAGAATAGCTGCACCACAAGGAGTTGTGTGTTCCAAAGGCGGGATGCCGATGTGAAATTCCAGGGATTTCTCCTGTGATGAATGAGAGGCAACGATCAGAACACTTATTTATACTTCTTATATATATATATATATGAGCAACAATTTTTATTTAGGCTTTACTACTGGATGCTCTATTTGCTTGTCTATCATCAGTATTCGCTTGTGAACGAGATAGGGCCCCCACATAAACGATATACTGTTGTTCGATGACACTAAAGTAGTCTGAACAAGATAGTGTGATTTGCTACTAGAGTAGTCTGAACGAGATACTGTGACATGACCTCCTACTAAGCTTGCCCATCTACAGCCTATAGCACATGTAATTTGAAACCTTTAGGGCTACCTAAAGCACTGAACGAGATCGGGACACACCACTATAGAAACCATGGTTCGTCGTTCCAGACATGGTAGTGGAACAACGAACCCACTTGTGGTCCAGTCGTTCGGCTCCAGAAATCCGAGGGCTCCGGGAGTTCGATGAAGTCCTTCATCTCACTTTTTTGTTGCTCCACGGCGCAGGGGTTCCATGCCGAGTGCATCTTTGATGCCGGCGTACTTTGTGGTGCCCCTGAGGGGTCCGAAAAGCGTCCAAAAACGGACCGAAGAGTCGATCTGGACAGCGGGAAAAAAGGGCTTTCGAACCATGCGTCATGTTTTTCACGTGTATAATAGCACTAGGACGTGGATTGGGAGGTTTGACATGTCATCTGAAAAACGAGGCATGTTCAACTGTGACGTTTTGGAAGGGAATTGGAACACAATAAATTTATGTAACTCATTTGTCCATAGAACTTGGACTCACACGTCTGCCACAAACCCTCTCATCTCATCACCTCTCATCTCAGGCGAGAGAGGCCGCCCACGGAGCCCGTCTTCACCGGATCGATCCTTGGGAGGTGGAAGGCAGGGTGCGTTGGGAAGCTACTAGTAGCGCTAGTAGCTCCCGGCACTGCTAGTACCAAGTGCATCGCTACTAGTAACAAGGGCATGGCTACGAACGGAGCAAGAAGCTACTAACAAGGTGCATCGCTACTAGTAACAAGAAGCTACTAGGTTAGAGGCCTTAACCTAGATGGTTCTACTCCCGTGACCATCGAAGTGGCGCATGGGTTTCTTTTCGCATGAGTGGCATGGATGACGATTCGTCCGAAGACCTGCTATTACAGCAAATGGGCGCCCGGTTTGTGGCAAAGGCAGTCAGTATTATTTTGCCCCCTCTTCATCCATTGACTTGGAAACGCAAGAGCAAGCACTGGGCTGTGGGAGCAGCAACATGGGTAGACCAGTTCTGTGATCTCCAGTACCCTCTTGAAACTGAAACTAACAAAATGCGTGACCTAGGCCCTAGGCCAGATAATGTATACGTAACAGGTAAGTAAGGTTGGTCACTGCGATACCTTTCTGTGGCTCAAACACAAACCTCAAACCTCTGGCATGGCCTAGACCTTGACAAACAGTGTGAAGGGTGGTAGTTCTCACCTAGCAACCTCCTAAATATTACACCTTGATTGTGGGTCTTCATCATACATGCGCACTTGTGCACGTTGTAGTTCTTTGAACGTGCAAAAAGCAGTCTTCCTCTCGCTTCCATGGACGTGGTGAGAATCTGATCCAACTCAAGACTGCCACAAACGGGGGCGGAGTTGCACCATGATACTTGAAAACACCACTTCCGAGCGTACGATGACACTCAACAAACCAAGAAATGTGTATAGTCTACAACTCTTCAGAGCTAGCAACCCCGGATTTTGACTGCCAACAGGCTCGCTTATCATGTGGATTCTAGCCAGGTGTCATGGCTATCCCTCCTGGTTTTGTCATCGGCTCCGATCCCCAAACACCTGGTTCGGAGGCCGAATTGGTTCGCAACAGACCACCAACAAGACCTGGAAAAACGCCCCAAACAGGTTGGATGTGTTGGATTTGAAGAAATTCTCTGCTCATCTGAGCAGTTCACTCACCAAGGTGGGCCCCAAACTCTGAGAAAAGAAACGGACGGGTTCGGTCGATGTGTCCTGCTTCAAACCATACAACACTTGTTCTCCAAAAGATCTTCGGCAACTGGGCTCCCATAGCATCTTCACTCGAATGGATGTCTTTGACAATACAAAAATAGGTTAAAATAGCGGATCGTGCTTGCGCACAAAATCTCTCACTTGTTGTCCCAAACAAGGGGTGCTCTTCACTCTCCACCTATCCATTCAAGAAAGAAGCGAGTGAGAGTGGTGGTGGGGATTTGTGAAACCATCATCGGCTGCAGCACACCTACTCACCATGCAAGAAGTGACACCTCCCCCTCCACTGCAGCGCGAGTTCTTGGCACATGACCGGCCCTACCTCGTCGGAATTCGCAGCCCATTTCAGCCTGCTTTGGAAGCCCAAGAGGGTTCGGTCAAGCCGCCATCTGCGGGGGATCTCATCCCTGGAACCTCCCAGTTGCACCCGCTGCCTGTCGCTGCCAAGGCACAGGAGTCGGTCACCCCCGTCGTCATGTGGTCGTCCAGTGGTCGACGACTAGACTCGGATGGACTTGCCCTGGGAGTCGGAACGGTGCGACCGACGTGCCGAGTTTCGGACGGAAACGAGGGGGTTCTCATGTGGCGAAGCCAAGAACTGTGAGAAATCCTCGACAAGATCAAGTGACTCCAGGCATGAATTCAGTAACATGACGTTTATGACCAGTGCTTTTTCTGTGTTGATGATTGTCCCACATTCCACCTACTTGGCCCGCCGAAGCTCCAAAGTGAAGGACTTGCTTGTGTCACTAGTTGCATACGTGGCAAGTGAACAGACCCTGCTGCTCCCTATTCAACAGAATTGTTTTTTCACGACACGGGTTAAACCATGTGAAACCAGTAGTTTAAGTTCCGAAGCAAAGCCAAAGTCCAACAGGATTGAATTAGGGGTGCGGGGCTGAAAGTTGAGTTCAACAAACTAACCTTGTTTGATCATTTTGGAAACGACATTGCAAGGAAAGGACTCTTCTTTTCTGGGTTGAGTCTCAAAAACAGCACCTTCGAAAATATGTGCACATGTACAGAACAACAAGCACCTTTTGCAATGTTTCCATGCACATGCACTTTTTCCTGCGTAAATCAAACTCAATATTTCTGGTCGCTTGTATATCTTTTGCTGTATCCTTGCCCATTGGGCAAGGTGTGGACACCAAAACTCAAGGTAGTATAGTCAGGGCATTGCGTACATTGCTTCTGTGAATTCTTGTCCACACCAAGCAATCGACACAAATCACAAGCTATGACTTACATCAAGGTTGTCTTTACGCTCCTGCCAGCGGTTGCAAACCCAGGAGTTCTCGTATACCTTCTGTGGGGCACATTGTCATCGGCCATTTGTAATGCACAGGACTGCACTCCTCAAGGAGCTTGCTTGCAGCTTGCAGCTTGTGCTTTGAGTAGCATGCAAACATTGACTCATCAAAACTTCCACAAACTGAGCTGAGAGACTGAGAGATGTTGCACATTCTTGGGTGCAGCTGTTGCTCATGGTGGCATGTTGGCGCACTTGCTGGTAGACCTGGCACATAGCCTTTTGACATGCTCGCACATAGCCAGGTAGACCATGTGGTGGTGGCTTTGGCACACTCACACTCGCTGGTGCTGGTGCATATGCTTTTGCAGATTTGCAGGTGCTTGTCGTCCGCCGTGTTGCGATAAAGAAGCAAGAGATTGAATATTGGTCTTTGGCTGTATCAGAGTACAGTATCCTTTGTGCAATGGTATGGCCGTCTTTGACAAAAAATAGAGCTCGTCTTCTCTTTTAAACAGTTGTTGCACCACACTGGTGACCGGTTAGAAAGACTCAAAATTTATTTACCAACAGCATCCGCCTGCTCCATATCCCAAGCTCTCAGTTTACACAGTCCGATCTCATTTGGAGAGGGTGGGAAGACTGTTCCAATAGCTCCTACTGAAAACTGAACAAAATGACCACGAAAAGCACTGATTTGTGGAGATGGTGTCCATTGGAGATTGCTCGGTTTGGCTTTGTTTGCTGGGTTCATCCAGTAAAACCTAATAATTGGATCTTCAAACCCCCACGTTCCCCACACGGAACTTCTTGTTCTGCACAGCAGCCAGGACCACGGGATCTAGATTCACACTGCTGGGCTCCTCAGGGCAATCCGAGGGCCAAGCCACAAAAGCTGTGTGTCGAGGGGGTGCAAACCATCACAAACCGCATGCATGTAGAAATATGTACACTTATTTGGTCCGCTACCGGAGTGACTGACTTGGGATCCATACTAGTCTGTGTCTTTGTGTTTGCTTCTTGTGGCAGGAAACCTGCGCCTCAGCTGGCAGCGCCTCAACAGGACGAAAGGGGCCATGCGGCTTGTGCCATTGTCTGATTGTGGACGTGAAATGCCAGAAGTGTTAAACCTCAAACCGCAGATCCCGCAGATCGCCCTTCATCTTCCAGGCATTCATGTTCACGTCAGCTGGGTACCCAAACACCATAGCGATCCGTGCCCTGAAGGCTTTTGTTTCAACATCCACAGCGCAGCGAGGGTCTTGGTGGAAGGAAAACCAGGCCACCAGCAGGTGGCCCCGGAATCATTCAGGACTGGAGAGGTTCACTCAGCCCCAAGGCCCCAAGGTCCAAAACCCCGAAAAAGAAGATGGTTGGTTGCCAAAGCTCGGGTGTTGAAGCCGGGCCAAGCAGCAGGCTTGTGGAAAAGTCACGGTCACCTTGGATAGATGTTTGTTTGTCCAAAGTGCAGTCATACTTTGAGAAGGGTCTTTGGTGAGGCGGCACATGATGGACCCCAAATGATAAATTCCCAAAATGAAATACAATTGTTTGTTCATTAAACCATGACCTCAAACGGTCCCCACCCAGTTTCTCCTCCGGCACAAAGAGACTCACGCTGGATGGCTCTGAAGGGACTGCAGCCTTGGGGCTTCCGGCCTCGGAGGAGCCCTCTGAGAGGTGTTGGGTTGTTTTGATGGTGTGAAACGGGGCATTCGGTCCAATGACTGATGTTTTGACTAGCTGAATTTATAAATGATATAATTGCACAATAATAAGATGACACAAGATTAAGATGAACTAAACTTGAAACAACTTGGAGGAAGGTGAGGAGTACGACATAATTGAATCGGGTCTATCAATGTGTTGCGTCTGTCTGTAGCTACGACCAATATATGATCTTGTGCAGATAGTATGTGCACAAGTGCACCAGCGCAAAGCGAAGGGGATCGATTCAGCAGCCCCACACCATTGGATGACGTGACTCAATTCAAGTGGAATAACGGGTACTTGAACCCGTGTTCATTTTCCTATAAATATATTTATCCTACAGTACAGTTTAGGTACTTGGAGGACCGTTGGTGAAATCACGAGTTCACTTCGCATGAGAAACACTTGATGCTCTGTGGAGTCGACCCACAAGAAGCTGCAAGCACAGAAGGCACTGTCACTGTCACAGCAAGGCCTGAGACTTCCTCCGATCATCACCTCTCCGACCCATCCCCTCTTTACAAGGCTTGACCAGGTGTGGAAGTTTGGTTGGACCCAGTGGAATCGATAGACCGCCAAGATAAGCACATACCACCCGCGATCATGATGACTCCTCTCTCAATCTGTCATGAAGACTTCCATCAAAGTTGTCCAGATGTTGTTACCATGTTGGGCTACCTCCACACAACCTCAGTCCCTCAAGGTGCTCACCTCCCAATCCAAACGTCCCCCGACCTCTCCCGTCCCGAACTGATCATCGGAACCTCACTGCTCACACTCTTGAGCTCAAGCGCCACCTCGCCGATCACACAGGCACTTGGAGAGCCGCGGTCGTCCGTGCGAGGACCCCCGCCGTGCTCCTGCGGGGAGCAAAGAGCGACCACGGGTCAACCAAAGCGGCAAAGGACAACGGCGGATTGAGAGACCTTCTGAATCTTCCTGAGGTTCGGTGTGATTGGACCCACCTGGCGATTCGGGAAAACCTGACTTTTTCACCTCCCAGCGTTTGGAGCGTTCGACTATACCATGACCACACGGGGCAGGTTCGATGTCTTCAGCTGAATGCCTCGATCCACGGTCATGAAGTGATCTGAGCTCGATTGCTCTTGGGATCTTTCCACCCAAGCGGCAACCGCGTGGCAATTCATCTGAAGAGGCTTGGGGTGGGTGTGCAACCAGAAAGACCCCTCAGGTCTGTGACCAAGGTCTGGCTCATGAGGAGCATGTCCGTGACCTCACCTTCGCCTATGAAAAGAAGCCATGAATGTAGCAATCTCTCCGGGATAAGCCAAAACCGAGGTTTCCGCCAGCATCCACCATATCTATGTCCCCGATCTCTGATGTCTAGATCCAAGTGTTTCCCCCCGCACTGTCGGGGGCAAAGACACATGTGTTGTGTGTGTGTGTGAAATTCAGAGATCCTCCCCCTTAAACAGAAAAAACAAACATGAAAAAAACACTGGAGGAAAAAGACAGCAAAAAAGGAGGGATCAACACAGAAGCCGGTCCGCCGCACGTCGGTCTCTCTATGTCTCCCGTCGGTCTCCACCGTAGCGTGGCCGCTCCTTGAAGGCAGCGGCCGCAGCGCTCACGCGGCTCTCCTGAGGGTTTTCGTCATCGGCGACCAAACAATCCCAAACACCTGTGTGGGACTCCGAATAGGACTGCCGCCCCGAGCCATATGCCAGTCCGGAGCGTCTGGGATATGAGTTGTTGAGACAAATAGCTTGCTATTGAAAGACAATGAAACATCAGAAAGGAAGGGTTTAATTGGAAACATGTTTGACAACAGTTCCTGAATTAAATTCCTTTTCAATTGCCCAAGATTTTTCCAAGTTTCTGTGTGAAGTTAGTCCTAGAGTCCTACATGACATCACAGGCTTTAGTGATGTTTGGTGCCAAATGACCCAGTTAATGGACGGTTCATCTCAGCATAAGGTGATCCTCCGATTCAGAATCGCTTCGGAATTGATGCTCGTCCCTGAAACTGTTTGGCAGTTTTAGATGGTTCCATTGCGGGGATCCTCTGGATGGTCTTTCTCCCCAAGTAGTAAAAACGATGCAAACACTGCAGAAGGTTGTGTCTGTCCCAGGCAAACGAAGCAAAAGTGGTGTGTTCTCGTCTGAGTGTCCAAATCCATTTGTCAATCCCACTTAGTGTAGAAGCATCCGCCCACTTGCAGTATCTTGCAAATATACAGAGAAAAAGAAAGAACACAAACTGATCCGGCTATGACTGGAAATGACACTCGGTAGAATCCAAACTTGGTGGAAACAATCTTGAGTGGCACACGTGTTTTTCTCCTCCTAAAATCCGGAGGTCCTTAGCCCTAAAACCCGGGCTTCCGGATTTTAAAAAACACCTCGACTCTTCCGCACTGCGAACGACCACATCCGAGCTGCGAGGGCGTCTAAGTGGATGGTTCCTGCCTTGAGGCGCGCCTGACCAAAGAACGGAGCCAGTGAGGACGGGTGGAGAAGGGTGGAGAAGGGTCGAAGCACCTGGAAAAAAAAAGGTGTGGCAACCGATACAGTTATATTCCACTTAATAATACATTAAATCCCTACTTTCGGGCCTTGGAAGGACGGGCACCAGGGCACCAGGAATTGTGCGTTGAATCTCGGGTGTCACAGCGCACTCGAAAACAGACCTGCGACATAGGTTCAATTACCAAATTAAGACTGTTTTTGGGCTTCTTCTTAGATTTGCTGATTTGGTAACCGTGAACAAATAAATTGAACAAAATCTATTCCCCAGAACGGGATTTAGCCATAGGGAAATGACAGTTCTATTTCAATTCACACTGAGCAGCCGCGCCTGAGCAGAAAAGGCATCTGCTGCCGCATTCACATTGCTTTCCTGAGCAAAAAAGGTGCTGTCCCAGTGATTTCGCTCAACTTGTGAAGGTTTGAATTGCGGCCTTCATGGATCGTTTCCATGATCTCCCAGACAGATTGGTCCAAACAAAACAAAATAATCCAAAAAATTCAAAAAATGGCTTAAGTTTAAACTCGGCAAAGACCGTTTGAACGGACGTTTCTTTCAAACATGAGCTGTTGGACAATTCGGATGGATTGCAAGACGACGTTGGGTTTCGGAACGCAGAACACCAGGGGGAACGTGAAGACGTCCCCTTTTGACCCAACTCCGAGTGATATAATATTTGCAGAACACCAATTTAAGACCTTGTGTACGTCTTACGGCTGCTCTCAATGTCCTCTTTGATAGCGTACGATGTCTGCCCACTGGCATTCAGGGCCGGAGCCACAGTACTGGCGGCCAAGCCACGTACTGCGCGGCCGTTTGGCCGTTTGAACCTCTTCCTCCTGCGCAGCCAAAACAGGACGTCTGTGAAGATCAGGGCCAAAGCATAGCCACGAAGCTCGCTCGGCCGAAGACTGCTGAAGACCGGCCGACTCCCAGGTGGCGAGGCCCGCCCGGCCACGATGGCTTGGCCTTCCACTGTGTGCCAAGCCAATGCGTGGGCGATCAAGGGCCAGACAGCTCACATGGCGCCGAAGATTGGAGATTCATGTGATCTGCATTTCGTCGTTGATCTTCATGCACCATCTCGTCGTTGATCTTCATTCTTATTTTGTCTCTCCGTCAGCCGACCAAAGGCCAGGTCCGCGGCACAACCAAAAAAAGGGATGGAAAAATCCCAGGACTGTGCGAAGCACGGCACTCTGGTGCAATCCATGAAGTAAAACAATGGACTTGTGTAAACATGACGATGGGCGCTTCCTACTCTTGTCAGGACGCAGGGTTACCATAATGACCTTACGATGAAAAGCACATTCATTAACACATCATCCCCCAAAACCACTGTCCCAAAACCACCGCGCTCCAAGCATCCAGTGAATCCAAGTGGAGCGTTCCAGCACGTCGCTCCTCGGACCCCAAATCCGAAAAACAGGGTCCCCAAGCCTCCAGTCCCCAGGACCACAGACGACACAAGGTGGGACCGAAAGCGACTTGAAATTGAAACGGTTGTGATATCTTGGGATCAAACCGGGTCATCTACCTTCAACTCTGCGAAAAAAAAAAAAAAAACACGGATTGCAGGTCATTGTTGGCGTTCCGAACGGCGACACGAATGACCAACTTGCGCACATCTTCGGACACCGTGCTTACATGCTTCAACACTTAGGGACCTAGGGATGTTAGCGGAGCATGTGGTTTTTGGTACGACATGGTCTTTGACACGTTACTACAGTCACTTCATGCAAGTGCTAATCCCTCATTAATTCTTGGGGGCATGAACCCATGAACCCATCGGACCAGCGTCCCTGCTGATGGTGGCCCCAATTCAAAAAATATTATCAGTCGCAAGGGACATGTCCAAGAATATAAAAGTCCAATACATTTCACCAGAATCAACTGCTTGTGCACAGAAAGAAACAGAAACGTGTACGTGTACAAACATTGAACTGCAATGTGATGTAGTCCTTCAAGGCAAAACATTGGCGATTGCTGGAAAAAAACTGTGTTCATTGAAAAGGTAGAAAAGGGAATGACAAAGGATGGAACAACATGGCAACCCTAAGAAGACCGCCAGATACCAAGAAAGCTCAAAATCAGCACCAAAAATTATAGTAAATATAGTAATTCATCTAGTATATATTATATATATACACTTTTTTTCGAGATACAAAAACATCACGATAAGCAGTATGCACGTCATGATAAGCAAGACGCATGTATTTTCCCCGCACACCCCACTCGAGCGAAAAAGGAATGCCAACTACTCCAAATTGTTGCAGGGGGGGTTGAAGTCCAGCAAGCATCTTGACAATATAGTTCAACAACTGAGGCAGAGAGAGGTGGATTCGTCTGCTGCCTAGAGACTGCCTGCGCTCGGAAGGCCGCTGCAGCACTGCTTTCCTGAGAAGGAACCGCTCGGACGACCTTGTCAACGAACAACTGGACGACAGGACTCGCATGGGTGTTTTCAGGTCGTGTGCCAGTCGGGATTCTTCCCAATTCGGTTGTATAGATGTGTAAGTGTATGGGGGTTCTTCGTGTTTGTTCGAATATAATTCCAGCTTGGACTTGGAAGTCTGGTGGATTGGACAAGATATTGATCTGTTGGAGTGGTTGAAGCGAGGGTCACACGAGGTGTTCAGTGAAGATCACCCGGTGAACATCAACCTGTCACAACATACGAGAAATACTGACATTTCTATACATGTCTGTTTGATGATGTGAGCTTTTTAGGGGTGTCATCGATGTTCCATTCAACCCTTCCGGGGCAGCGGTTCCAAGACGCCCGGTGTCCCCACGGAGATCCGAAGATCCGGATCTCCCAACCTCTCAGGCCGCTGAAGGAAGCGGCGGAGTCGGTCGGTCCAATCACGCCGGATAGGCCTCGGGTGTAAACGAAACGACGATCCAGGTCTCCAAAGGTGGTGTAAACCAGATGGATCCTCCGATCCATGAGGTGGTGTTCCATGCCGACACCAAAACGGATCCAGGTCTCCTCCGTCATCTGATCCAGGTTGATGGTCCCATGCCGCTCCTCCGCCCAGCGATCGCTCAGCGATCCGCCTCGCCTCCGGGAAGGTCGAGAGAGTACGCTTCGTAAAGAGGGGGGGTGGGAAGAGACGCAGGGAGAACTGTTCCAACCCCCCGTTGAGGTGTGGAAAATGACACTTTGAGAAAGCTCTGGACACTCTTCCAACGAGTTTGTCTTTTTGTCCATGCATTTTCCTCTGTGCACATATTTACAAAATTGGAGCGAATGATGGATCTGCACAAAACAAGATGAATCCAAAGAGAGACCCTGGCACAAGCCCAGTGAACTTTTTGGGTAATGAAATCGGTGGTGCAATGATCTCGAACTCTTACTTGAGGCCGAGGGTAGGTGATGAAAGCTAGCAGGGGTGCATCCGGACTGGTGGGACATCAAGCGGAGTGAGGCAAATGCTCATGAGGTAAAACGTTGTGAACATGTAAGACACACAAACAGCAATGACACAGCCAACCTTAGAATTGAAGGCCCCGATAATTAAGGAAGCGTGGCTGGACTTTGCCACACTGTTCGATGCATCCGATGTGTTCACGAACCTGTGAGCTTGTTGAATCTGTTGCACCGTATCCCAAAACCTCCACGGAGGAGTTGAACCAGTGTGGATGCCATAAGAGGTGCCCAAGAGGTGTCCCAGAGGCAAAACAAAGCTGCTTGCATGATTTGTTTGGTTTCTTCTATCGATGTCGATGTCATGAACATGTGAGCTTGTTGAATCTGCTGTTGGATCGTCATGTATATGTAATGAGGGACTGAAGAAAAGCAACGCAGCATCATGAGCATCACGGGAAGTCACAAACCCAGGCGTATCAGATACACCTGGTTTATGTATGTTTGTTTGAGCATCTTTGTCGAGTGAAGTGTCAGCCATATGCACTGAGATGCCGAAGGAAGCTCAAAGGCACGTGTATCTGATACGCCTGGTTTCTGACTTCCCGTGATGCTCATCATTGAAGCCTTGAACCCTCGCGTAAATTTTATGTTTCATGCCCCCCCCCCCTTCCAAACTCAAACAGTGGCCTACTTCACCTGCCACCTAAACATAGCACTATAGCACGTACCGGAAGCGTCCCAGGGGGGAGTTGAACCCGCGGGGGGGGGGGGGCCCCCTACACGTGAAGTTTTCACGTGATTCATGATTCTCCAAAAAGCCAGCAAAGACCGGGGAGTGCCACTCGTGGCTGGGAGTCTCACCCCCATGGCCTCCGCTTCGAAGGGTTTCATCATCTGTCATCCCATGTGTATTCACACACAACGTTGTGATCGAATGGACCTGATTGCATGAATATAGGTTTGCCTTGGTTTGCAAAACCCACTGTCAACGTTATAACGTCTATCGGTAGGGAAGATGGATGAACATTGACGACCGTTCCGGTACATCATTGTGCAGGACAACTTTATGACAGGTTACCCCTTCAGTATGATGCTTCTTTCATGGCAAATACCCCAATCAGACAGAGGAATCCTCAAGATCTCACAGGTCCACATGTCACACGTGAAGGTCACGTGAAGGTCGATGTATGTCGAGGTCTTGAAGGAAGACGCATAAACTCGCGTATAAGCCTTGAAGAAAGATTCATGATACTCATGTGACTATTAGGCTCATGCTCATGTCACTCATGTATTTTTGGGACCTCAAGGGTAACGGGGTGAAGAAGCAAGTGACCAAGTGTATCTGGTCCTCTACTGAGTCTACTCGTCTACTCATGACCCCCATCTGGCGCCTGAGGCAGCAGCAAAGGTCTCCCGTTCGTCCAACAGGGCCGCAGATCAGCAGCATGGGACTGAGGAAGGAGAAGGTGAAGAGCATGGAGACCGCCTCGCGAAGCCGAGACGACGAGACCGGCGAAGCTTCGAACGCAGCGGTGGTGGTTTTCGGGTTCGGGCACTGGACGAGACGCGCGGCTGACCAGCGCAGCGGGAGACTTGGGAGTGTCGGTGGGATCCAAGCAGCTTGCTGATTGGGTGTTGGGATTTGAACCAATGCTGGTACTGGTGAAGAGTTGTCAAATGGGTGGTGGCAGCCAAAGAGGGGAGGGCTCGTTCAGCTAGTTATAGGCATAAGGCCATGGGGCTTCGGATGGGTAGCTTGGGGCAGGTTTGGAACAGACCCTCGGCCTTCCTCAGAAAACCGATGGGAAAAACGTACTCGAACCGTTCGTCGAAGGCAAAGCCGGTACTACCAATCTTTAAAGAACGATAAACACTACTCAATCAAAACGACCCACATGAAATGAAAGACATCACGACCCACTTATATAGAGGTCAAGCTCCAAGTTCCAGGTTAAAGTTCAGGGGAATACAGTGCCCTCTAGACTTCGGATGGCTCTGGTGCATCTGGATTCCCTCCTGTATTGACTAGCTGGAGCAGTGCCTGATGTACCTCGCGACCGCTGACCCATAAAACAATGGCATCAAGCTTCAAGAGACCCCACCAAAATCATTGCCCTTTCGCAAGTGGCTGTTCTTATATAACACTCGAATTAAGGATGATCAACCTGGCTACTCTGGACATATTACAAGAAAACATCACTTCAGGGAAGGTATATCTTGGCACGTCAGCGTATACATGATCCACCCTCGCAAGTGGTCCGAGCTGCGGTCAAACCTCATATCAAACGTACTGTTTAGACCAATTGAAATGGAAGTGGAAGGCATAGTCCCTAAGAAGCATTATGTTGTCATGTTTTCTCCACATCCATGGATAGTGAGAGAAGCGAAATCTGTAAACATGATCTGTTGAGGAAATCGAACGATGCAGGCTCCAGCAGGCATCTTTTGGAATTGGCATTATATATATATATATATAGAGAGGCAAACTCCCAACAAGTGGGTTTTAGCCCATGGTTCGGGGGCCATCTTCTATTACACCTTTGGCGTGTTCATCTGGCGTCTCGACCCCCCGTCCCCATCGCTGGCATCGCTGGCCGGGGCACTGAGTTGGCAAACAAGGTCCAGCCTGGAAGCCAGAGGCATGTCTGTCATTTTTCAAGCTCGTTGTTACATCTAAAACCAATCAGATGACTATGGATGACTAGAATTAGTGAATATTAGTGACTATGGACGATCCAATCATATCCAATTCAATAGAGGCGTGTCAATACTTTCTGTCTGAGAGGCCCGGGTGTGTGTGTGTGTGTGTGTTCGTTAGCAGTAGGTGCCGAACAGGGATCTACTAGCGGGGACCCAAGAGATTGAACCTTATTATTTGAGTGTATGATGATGAAATATGATGAATAAGTGCCTCCACAAATAGTGACATAGTAGTTGTTCAATGGGTGTCTGCAGCTACAAGGACCCTCCTGGTGGCTTCAGAATGCTTCAGAGGTCAGTCAGCTGATCTCCTCTTCGATATCTTGACCATGGCAAAAGATATTCCAAGCAAACCTTCTGAACTGGATACTGCAAGGCTCAGTGATCTCACACAGTGTGAGGCCGCCTGGATCTCCTCACAGAGACCAAATCACACCATCTCGCAGCTCCCTCTTCCCTATCTCCTCTCCCACCCACCAATGACGTGTCTTCCGCTGTACTCACCATGGTCCTCGCCGGTTTTGATACAAACGGGTCATCACCCATCTCAGGTGCCACAGTTGGACGGTCGTCCGGCGGCGAGACGCACGAGACGCCGAGGTGCCGAGCTTTTGGAAGAGCAAAATGCGACAGGGCAGCAGAAAGGCGGAGCCCATGATCGTGGTGAGCGCGCCGCCCAGGATGGAAGGTCCTGCGCGGCTCGTCTCACCCGAGAGAGAAAAGAGGTCCTGGCAAGGGAAGATCAAGGTGGCAGGTGGCTGTGCAAGTGGACAAGAGGATGAAGAGAAGATGAATGAAGGTGTCTCGGGTCTCTCTTCTTCTCAGAGACGGATGGTTGAAACAGACCTCACAACTCTGAAACAGCAAGTGATTGGACTCGGACCCTTGGTCTCCCAGTTATAGGGCTGGTCCTTGAGGGGACTTGAATGACTCAGGAAAAAAAAAATAAACAGCATGAAGAAGACTTGCACTCCTTTGAGACCAGAAGTTGAGCCACTAAAATAGAGTCAATTCCCCCCCAAAAAAGAGGGGCAGAAACCGCTAAACCCTTGTTTCAACCAGGAAAAAGTGGCTGAGCATCACACTGCCTTCACCTTCATGGGTCGCCATGGGTCTCCCAAACCGGAGTTCGCAGTGGACAGTAGGCCAGTTAATTACTCGGCGTGAATGTTGCCACGTAGAGGCCATCAGAAGCCGCTGAAGCCCAAATGTGGCAAGATCTTTGGAAACCAACTGTCACCCTCCAAATAACTCAGTGGAAGTGGATGGCTCCTGGGAAAACAAGTTCGTTCACCCGACTTCAGGCTGCAAAGCATCGCCGATGACTGTTCCTGCCATTGGCCCCTCATAAGGCGCCCTCAGCATGCCCAGGGCGACATGCCCAGTGGTGAAACAGGGGAGCGGTTTGAACCCTGACGACTCTGACAACTGAACCGGTCTTCCGAACCGGTTTTAAAGTTTTGGTTAACTACAAATCTGCGAGTTCTGTCCTATGACCACCAGTGCATGCCGCATCTTCTGCTTTGAGTTCACACCAGGCGCCTGGCGACAACGAGTTCAGGCGCAGGCGGCCATGGCTTGGGCCATGCCTCATTGAGGGGTAGATCATCCCACCAGGACGGAGTTTCTAATCAACCATGGACATCATATACTTGGAACAACCATTCAAACTATAAATGTCCATGTTTCGGTGCTTTCCCCCCACCAAAATCCACTCAAGTAAGCAGAACAAGGGGGTCCAACGAGCGCACGTCTGGGGGATGAACCGTCAGACCTGGCGTGGACAGTCCGCACGGCCGGAAGCGGAGCCGGCGCCATGGCGCGAACCCCCGACGGGCTTTGGTGAACACCTCCCGTCGGAAACGGGAAGATCCTGAGACCCGTAGAAAAGAAGCGGTGCAAATTTGATCGCCCTCAATCGTCAATATACAATTATTTATAGTATATATATATACAACTGCAGTTCTCATCAGGGATTCACCCTCCCAAAAAATACAGTTCATCGTGCAGAAACCGCGGGTCTGGCACGTCTGGAGTCTCGTCTGGACGCCCGGGCATTTGACCAGCCTGGTTGTAGGCATGCGCCAAGTGTAAGCAATAATCCACCTGAGTCATTCTTGCTGAACTCCCAAAACCACCCAGAAAAAAAATGTCGCACGCGAAAAAGATCTATTGAGTTGGCGAACACTCACCTTCATTTGACTTGCCGGTTCGTCATTTTCGAAGAGTCCATTGCGAAAGAAAGAAAGAAAGCAAACTCACTTTGAGGGAATTTTCTCGCTCCACAGTAAGGGAACTGGATGTTGGTCCCTCTATCAGGGGAATCGGTCTGCTCAAAGGACTCAAAGTGCCCTGCCTTCCGCCTACCATGAAAAGAGAACTCTGAACTCAGTGTTTGACTTTGATCCACGGCCAAAACATCAAGTTCGATACCGTAATACATCACGCAAACAGTTCTTCAGCTGCTCAAAACTGGAAGAAACTGTATAATCCACAAAGGTCTTAGAGGGAAGTGTTGGCCTGTGGTTTTTTCTCGAGGTTCACCCGTGGCGGGGATCGATCTGACTTCCGCTGGGCTACACTCAATCCCACAAAGATCGTGGCACCAATGGCCTCCACCACGCCGAACCTGGCACGGTCGACTTGCCAACGGAGTGAAGAAGCCAACGCCGAGCCGATGGGAACGCAGGTGTCGGGTGTAGTGAAACTGGAGCTGGTTCCCATAGATCCTATAGTGTATCTATACCTGAGCTAAAACGGGGGTGCTGCCTGGTGAAAATCCTGCTCGATAGTCATGGGCTAAGCAAAAGGGGTGGTTGACATCTGCCCAATCAGTGGTGTGGTTTCACAATGGGATGGAAGGGGTCAATGTGATAATTTGGATTACAAATTCGGATTATACATGCGGTCCCAATGGAACCACTGGGTGGGGATTGTTATGTTATGATGACGAGCAATCCTCTTAATTCGGGGTTTGTCAAATGAATATTCAATTCATGGATAATTTGGAGTGTTGTTTTGACCATACTCTTGAAATGTGAAGACTTGCTTGTCGTTGTTCATATTTGAAGATAAACAAATTCCTGGATCTGGAAGTGTTACACAAATCTCTGCTCAGGACCAAAGACTGCTCACAGTATTATGTCCTGGTGATTTAAGTGTGTGCTTCAACACCATGCGAAACATTCACTCTCAACAACAATCACTTGACAAGCGTGACAATTCATTGAATTAAGATGTCGATGTTGCTCGAATCCAACCTGGAGTCCATTTATGTACATCTAGAGTAAGTGTCTTCCGCGGTTGGTGGAACAAGGCACATGTTGGTGGTTTGCCGTTGATCAACGCGGTTTCTTTGTGGAGATTGCCAAATGGCGTGAGCAACAGTGGCCGTTTGATCCAGGAAAGTGGCCGTTTGGGCGGGAAGAGAAGGCGCCGGTCACAAAGCTTTGATTCTTTGGCGCATTGAGATGCAAAAAGTGTTTGAAGACAAAAACAACTTTTTTAAACAATAAGTTTTGATCAAAAAGGCTCCAAGAAAAACGACAGCATCCGGAATGACCCAGAAAACGACAGCATCGAATTCCGGCCGCATCGCCCAGACATCTGGGCATCCGGACTCATAGCCCATGACGTTCAGCAGGAATCCCGACAAAACCCCAATCACCTGAGAGAGACCAAACCCCCAATCAGTCCCTTCGAGGACGGGCGAATGTTCCGGGCCAGTCACCAGTCCAAACGAGTCCAAACACCACCTGGGTGCGTCCCAGGTCTCGTGGGTGAAAAGAACTGCGATTGTGGAGGTGATCGAAATCAAAACCAGCGACATATCCCAAAGAGTCCAAAGGACTTATTTGGCCCCTATAGGGTAGTTGCGGATTATGACTGCCAGTGGGGTAAGATATGGATAATATGGTAAAATGATGTAAAAATGAGTCAAAACGGAAGTTCAGTATATATGATATTATGATGAGATCTGGCCCTCCTGGCATTTGATCTTCTCCTTTCGTGCTCCCCGCGTCGGTTCCGATCGCCAGCGGTCCTTGCCGCTCCGAACTCGGAGTTCCGGGCAAAGGACGACCCGGGATGTGAAAAACCGGTGATCAAGGTGGATTCGCAGAAACCGGGCGCTTGGGAACTCTACCGATATATCGATATATCATAATCTCATCTCATTTGCAGGATTGGAGATCAATGGATTTGATGTCCATGGGATTGTGCTGGCATGTTGCAAGAAGTTGTTTACGTGCTTTAGACATACGGATACGTGTACAAATAGCAGAAACCGTTGAAACATGTTGCAAATAAATGACGGGAACGATCAAATCCTATGTCGCATGAATCTCCATGGAAACAAAAGGCCGATCACTCCCTATAGGGTCAAATCCTCAAAACAACAAACGCATCAACATGGCGTCCGTCCGTGTTCGTCCCCACAGTGGAGAACTCGTCCGAGCGGCCAAGAGGATGTTCATGCAAACGTAGATCGCAATCACCACATTCCTTAGCGGGAGGCCATCGCTCTTAGGTTTGGAGGCCATTGCTATTAGGTTGGAGGCCATCGCTATTAGGTTTGTATGTTCTCTTCTAGGTTAACCTTGGACCTGGAAGCCTAGACTTGAGAGGAGACCACATTCCTCGCTTGCCGACGGGTCGATACATGTTGCATGTGTTGTCCTGTCCTGGCGCGACAGGTTGGAATATGATACAAGGGCTATTCCTTGAAGCAGTTTCGCAAGACAAGTTCTGTGGTAACACACGATACTAATCCGTTCGTCGTTTGACCTGGCTAGCTTGTGGTGCTGAAAGTATGGGTATTTAAATTTTTGTCTATGTCCGCCCTGGGATACCATGATATGGGTATGCTTGGCGGGGTTCTTATTGAATATAATATATGCGTGTTTGGTGCAATGTGAAGACTGATGCTTCAAGGGATTTGAAGGGTATGCTCCGCCCAAGTCAAATGTCCTACCTTTATAATTATATAACTCTTGTACAAACCCTTATCAAATGCTTCATGGGGCTGGCTGGGATTGGAATGGAATGGACATGAATGGACACATGCTGGAACGATGTCGCAGCCAATCAAGCAGCTCGTGACCCAAGTGAGCAAATTGGTTGGGCGAATGCACCTTGTATTTCTGTGCATATTGAACTTTGCCCATCTATGCCCCCACCCAGTGGATGATCATTTGTCCTACAGATCTTTCCTAAGCGGATGAAGTGCGTTCTTTTTGTGTCACTGGTATCCACAGGTTGAAACGGCAAGCCTGACGGCACACGGCAGCACGGAGTGATGAGACTTCAGCGGCATCTTCAGACCACAGACCACAGACCGAGCATGACTCACACGCTCGGGGAGAAGAGTCTGAATACGCAGACGCTTTTTATGAATCAACCCCCCATACCATGCACCGGCCAAACAACCTCGACTCAGCTTGGTGGGCGTTCTTCATCCACCGTCTACATGAACGAGGAAGACCGCTCGGATCCGCTCGGTTCAGCTTTCAACGACTCCAAAAAGACCAATATCCTCAAGTCACCGGACGCCGGCCGTGGCCCACGTTTCAGCGTTGGACCGCACGTGTTTCGGGATGTCCTCGCAAATGGGTGGGTCGGACCCGATCTGACCGATGTGAGGATCTGCTCCGACAAGGGACCATCGATTCAAGACGTTGTGACGCAGCGCAGGCTCCCCACTGACCTTGACATCATTTATCACCTGAGAAATCAACGCAAACAGTGAAATCCCGACATCGAAGCTCACGCAAGCTGGTTGGTACACTGATGCCGGCAAAGAAGCCAGGTTCAAACGGAACAAAAAGGGACAACATCTTCAGGCTGCAGGGCAAAATGACACCTTCTAAGCTCTGGTCAAACTTGTAACCGAAGGTCAAATTCTGTAAGCAGCTTGGCAAGGTGACACTTTCTAAGCTTTGGTTAAAGCGGTAGCGGAATGTCAAAGTCTGCAGGCTGCTTGGCAAGCCGACACCTGCCAAGCTCTGGTTGAAGTCCCGGCCAAAGCTTAAGGTCTGCAGGCTGCTTGGCAAGGTAACACCTTCCAAGTTCTGGTTGAACTTCTCGCCGAAAGTCAAAGTCTGTAGGCTGCTGGGCAAGGTGACTCCTTCCAAGCTCTGGTTGAACTCCGAGCCGAAGGTCAAAGTCTGCAGGCTGCTGGGCAAGCTGACACCTGCCAAGCTCTGGTTGAAACTACAGCCGAACTCCAAAGTCTGCAGGCTGCTTGGCAAAGTGACACTTTCCAAGCTCTGGTTGAATCTATCGCCGAACTCCAAAGTCTGCAGGCTGCTTGGCAAGGTGACACCTTCCAAACTCTGGTCGAAATGTGAATAAAAGCCAAAGGTCAAATTCTGCAAGCTGCTCGGCAAGGTGACACCTTCCAAGCTCTGGTCAAACTTGTTGCCGAAGGTTAAGGTCTGCAGGCCGCTTGGCAAGGTAACACTTTCCAAGCTCCGGTTAAAGTTCTCACCGAAGGCCAAAGTCTGCAGGCTGCTTGGCAAGGTGGCTCCTTCCAAGCTCTTGTGAAAGGCTTCGCTGAAGGTCAAAGTCTGCAGGCCCCTTGGCAAGGTCACACCTTCCAAGCTTTGGTTAAACGCCTCGCCGAAGGTCAAAGTCTGCAGGCTGCTGGGCAAGGTGACACCTACCAAGCTTTGGTTAAAGCTGTAGCCAAAGGTCAGAGTCTGCAGGCTGCTTGGAAAAGTAACACCTTTCAAGCTCTGGTCAAAGTGCCGCCCGAAGGTCAAAGTCTGTAAACAGCTTGGCAAGCTGACACCTTCCAAGCTCTGGTTGAAGTGCTGGCCGAAGGTCAATATCTGCAGGCCGCCTGGCAAGGTGACACCTTCCAAGCTTTGATTGAACTCCCGGCGGAAGCTCAAAGTTTGAAGACTGCTTGCCAAGCAAACACCTTGCAAACTCTGGTTGAATTGCTGCCCAAAGTTCAAAGTCTGCAGGTCAATAGGCAAGGTCACACCTTCTATGCTCTGGTTAAAGCGGTAGCCAAAGATCAAAGTCTGTAGATAGCTCGGCAAGGTGACACCTTCTAAGCTTTGGTTAAAACTGTAGCCAAAGGTCAAAGTATGCAGACTGCTTGGCAAGCCGACACCTGCCAAGCTCTGGTTGAAGTCCCGCCCGAAGGATAAGGTCTGCAGGCTGCTTGGCAAGGTGACACCTTCCAACCTCTGGTTAAAGTTCTCGCCGAAGGTCAAAGTCTGTAGGCTGCTGGGCAAGGTGACTCTTTCCAAGCTCTGGTTGAAGTCCCAGCCGAAGGTCAAAGTCTGCAGGCTGCTTGGCAAGGTGACACCTTCCAAGCTCTGGTTGAAGTCCCGGCCAAAGGTTAAGGTCTGCAAACAGCTTGGCAAGCTGAGATCTTTCAAGCTATGGTTGAATTTCACTGTCAAAGCTGCGATCGCATTGATCACTGTGTAATGCAAATGGTCTCTGGTGCCCCCTGCGAGGGCTTTTTGGAACTCAATTGCTGCTTCCAAAGCGCAGACCTGTTGAACGACGTATGAGATCTCTCCGCCCACGGCCTGCAATCGCTCGGAGGAGTCGTGGAGGATTTGGCCGTCAGCAAATAGAATAAGTTTTCGACCAGTTGTTATGCCAATCCTTGCTTTGATGGTTTCGATAAGGTCGCCCACCTTAGATGGTCGGCTGGGTGAAGAGTTGTAGAAACACTGATTAGAACCAGTCCTGAGTTGAAGTGAGGAACCAGTTGATCATTCAGAACCAGTTCCTGTGAGGCAAGCTGCTGTCAAACCCGCGAGACAGTTGTGGACAAGCAAAACGCATGTCACGAATGAAATGTTCTTCGGAGCCCAATGGTTCAGGCGCAATGAAAACCACTAAAGGGTGTGGCCGCAGGTGTGTCAGCCGCAGGCTGTAGTTGACACTTTGAGGCTTCCAATAGTTCTTGTTTCCACCGGTAGCACCTACAAAGCAAAAGGCAATCTGACACTTTCTTCGCCAAGGCCACATTCCAGAAAATCAATCGCAGAATCTTCCGTGACCGTCCTCTGATCTCTCCCTCCCAACCGGGCCAACCGAAGAACTTGGGTTCAGCAATTTATTTGGCAAAAAGTTGGCCGGGCAAGTCTGGAGACATCTGGGGTAACGAACCGTTGGAAGAGCAAAAACAGACCCGCATCCATTGCTTGGGGGCATTTCCCTATTTCAATACAAATGTGATCGACTAGATGATGACTAGCAAACAAAATTTGGGCTCAGCTCTCTGGCCGAGGAGAAACGGTTGCACGGCAGATTCACCCTCTACCGAACCCACCCAATGGACCAGTCGTTGGCTGCTGCGCTTGCATCCGTTCGTGCCGTCTCGCCACCGTGACCGTCTCATGCATGGGGAGCTGAAAGGTTGTACCATCGAGGCCACTGACCGTCCAAATTCTTGGTGAGTTCTGCCATGCCTCCGCCACCAGCCTTACAGAACATGTGGTTCACATGTTGTTGTCGTTGGATCGATGTTTTTCACAACAAGGACAAACTGGAACAGGCGGTCAGAGGTGATAAGCTGAGTCAAACCCAGGTAATTCAACATAACTCAAATAGTGCCCCAGTTGCCTCTAAGTAAATCTATTTATTGTATATATGTTAATTACTGTAATTGTACGTTTTGATCACATCGCACAGTATTGTTGAATCAAACTGAATAAAGAACGAGTCTAAGGGCACGTGCCGCATGACCTCTTCAACGGGTGCCCGAGTTAAGCCAAACCGAACCCATCGACGTGTCAAGTTGGCCAGACCGGTCCCATTGCGAAGTGAACTTGAGGTAGCGATGTGGAGTGAACTCGAAGCAGTTGGGGTGAATTCCTTGCTGGCTAGGGGTCTGGTAGTCTGCGGATCCAGGTGGATTCGGCATATTAGCAGTGACTGTGGAAGTCGGCACTTCGAATTCCAAACAGGGTCAAAGGTGTTGATCAAGCCTGGTGGATCAGTGGATGACCATCTAACTCGAATCCTTCACCCAGGTTGTGGTCCAAACCTTTTTCACTCTTTTACCACAGACCAATCATGACCAATCCCTACACCACGCATATCCACGCATCAACCCAGAAATCCTCCAAGCTGCTCCTCTGCCCGGTGCAGCAGCCGCTCTGCCCGCTCCGCATCCTCCGCGATGAATTGCCGCAGCACCGCTTCGCAAGCAGCATCGTCGCGCCACGACGCGGACGCGCTCGCAGCGGCGCCCATGCGTGAGCAGTGACACGGAGGAGCGGAGGGCACGGTTAAAAGTGCCAAGGATGATACAAAATCTGTACAATGTCATATGTCTGTCGGGGGATTACAGATGAAAAGGGAGGTTCATCAAGGTGGTAGGGTTTGTTGTTTCGAAGGTGATAGGGGGAGACTTGGAGAGGCCACTCACTTCCAGTTGTCGAAAACAGTACATAGAGATACACTGAGCTCTACTTCCCTGCAGGTCTGGTGATCTTCGTGGGTTTGGGGCATCTCAGCATCCTCCACATTTAGAAGTGGTACTGAGTGGTACTGGTTATATCATGCTTTATCCTTCTTGCCGCTTGATATGCACCACTTCACTCGGTTGCTGCAGGGTTGGAGAATCAAAGTCCCAGCCAAAGGGTTTGACGAAAAACGATTGCGTCTAGAGACTCAAGGTTGACACATCTCGGATGCGAGGAATCGACCCCGGGACGTAAACAGATTCGGGTTGACAAGTCCGTTTTTCATAGTCCAACCGATTTTTGGAGTGAAGAAATCAGAAATCAATGACAAAACATCCGTTCCATTGACGCACCGAGGCTTCGGCCACGCGGCAAGGCCCATTTCATGACCCCGAAATGAACATCGGATTCCAATGGATTTCATATTTATTTAAGAAGGTTGGCTCATGCTCAGTATTGCAGGAGGTGCTTTCGGCAAAAAGAACACACCCACCCACCGCCAAAAAATGTCCCAACAACTCCAAATGATTCCTCACAACCCTTCTGCCACCCAGAAACCTACACGCCTACACGTTTCGCAGCCCTCCTTGTCTTTAGTCCGTCACTTCCTTGCCAAAGGCACTGGCTGAAGACGGCCACTGCCAGCAAGGACACCGAGATTGACGCTGAGAAGGCTAACAAGGTGCTCTGCACCACCTGTGGCCATCCCAACATGGTGCATCCCAAGAAAATCCGTGGTTCCAGTAATCCGTCGTTCCACGTAAGACCGACTCGTGATTGCTTGGGTCCCCCCCGAAGATAGGGTTCGGAAGTTCGGCACCTCAGAGTTCTTCGTGGCGCCAGGATCGGTCCCGATGATACAGGTGTCGTGCTCAGAACTGTAGGAGGCTCCTAGGAGGTGTGAAGGTCTTTTTTCACACCACTATGCCACTTTGGAGTCATGTTGAAGAACATCCACCCATCAAATAGCCCGCAACAAAATAACGCATGGCTCGATGGACTTGACGGACTCGGACGAAGCTCAACTGGTGCTCAGCTCAACCCAGACACAAGCCTCCACGCCGCTCTGTGGAATCTTGAGTTGAAGGATGTTGAAAGCGGTTTGCCAAATGAACAAACCCTTGGGGGGAGGAGTCAAAGATGTGGATCCGGCACCACTGAGAGGCCCTTTGGCATTGGCAGCGTGATGGGGGTTACAAATGAAATTGGCATGCATGCAAACGGACAGGTAGGGGAGATTGGGTGATTCACTTCAACTAGCAAGATGATCTGTTGCACAGAGGCTTTCACAGGCTTGGCCTCCTATCACACCAACCTCTTCCAGACATGGAGTCGACGGCCTGGGGGGGCTTCGGCTCGGCTCCGCCTCACTTTCGAGCTGCATCTGGGTCCACGTCGCCGAGACCATGAGCATCGCTCCGGCCTCGTGTGTCAACGGGACAAGGGCGGGAGCGGCCCGAAAGTCTATCGGAACACCTGAATCAACTATAAGAGCCACATATAGTGGTGGCTGGAGGCAGCGTTCACTGGGCAATTGGGGGTTTCACCAGCAGAGTCTCGTGATGATTGTGGGGGATGCATGGGGATGCTGGATATTAGTGTAGAGCCAGGACACGTAGTCACAGTCCAGAGGAAGGTCTCGGTATCAAATACCTAGAACCATCTAGAACCTGAATGACCTCTACTTTGGGATCACCAAAACCAACATGTACAGGGGTCATGTCTGGGTTCAAAGTATGCATGTCTGCATGCGAGTTGTTGAGTCAAAGGTCGCCCCGTCGAGCAAGAAATTGCACGACACTACCTCCATGGAGAAACTATGTACACTCGCAAATCCCCAAGAGATTGAACATGTGTTCCTAGGATCAACTCCAGCAAATCCCCCATGTTCCAATTCCCCCGTATGAACAGGAGGAACTCTACCTCCCAGGTCATCTTTTCACATTTCTGACCCCAAATTCTTCCCCAACCTGCTCCTGCCCCCGGGTCCCCCCAACCAGCTTGGGCTCTTCCCCAACCGCTCCGCTCCAGCCCCGCTCCGCTCCCAAACTCAGGTTCCAGGCCCTGAAAGGTGCTCCCTCGTTCCGCCGCCGCACCCAGTCGTTCCACCGCTCGCGCATGGCGCTCCTCGCGTCGTGGACGTCCACACGTCCCGGGTCGACGAACGGTGTGGCGGTGGGGCATGGCGGTGGGGCATGGCAGACACATGCGAGAAATCCACAACATGGAACAAAGGAATGGGTGATGCTTCCATCTTCCACACGCATTATATGTCCACATGACCGCGCCGGACCGCGCCAGCGCAGCGGTGCTTCTTGGGGGCCAAGAGGCCGGTAGGTGGTGTTGGCATTCTGAGCCACATTGATCTTCAGCCTGCTTCGAATGACTTGGCAGGTGTGAGGAAACGGGATCGAAGGACGGTCCGACCTCGTCTACCAGAGATCCTTGTCCTTCTTGAATCGAAGGACCGGGGGCTCCGAAACCACGGTCCAACACAGAGAACAACCATGTTGATACACAGCGGCTGCAGCGTCACACCCACATATCTAGGGCAGATGTCTACAATTTGGCTTGGTCCTACACCTACCAACCATGTTCAATAGCCACTGACCACTGGTGACCCTGGTGGTCAGAAACCCTGCCACTACCGCCCTCAAAGGCCAACGGACCCCCCCCCCGTGCTTTTTTTGGGCGGGCCCAAGAAACCTCACCATGGTGAAGTAGAGCCGTCCGCCATAGTCCACACCATCCGTGACCACATCCCTAAGTCGACGAATTGCAGCGACAATCGCCCCTTGAGAGCGATCGGTTGGAGCTGATGGCGATGGTTGGCTACAACTTGACGGATTTGTTTCGAGCTTCTAGAAAATCACCAATAATGACCACATATGACCACCCAACCCATATCATCTCTACATATAGACGACCCTTCAGTGGAAGAGTCAGTCACCTGAAACATGTACACCTCCTTATCATGTGGGTCTCGAGATCCCGACATCCTTGGCCAAGGCAAAGGCCATCGGCCAAGGCAAAGGCCAGGCACTGAGCCATTCAGATGCGAGAGCTGTGTGCCAAATCCATTCAGAATCTAGAGCCCCAACTCCAGCATCCTAAGAAAACGCACCCTAGCATAGGGATTGGAATTAGGGCCACCCATTTCACAGTGGAAATCCACATCCCTATACTCTAGCTAGAAATTCCTAATATAAATCCTTTCAGTTTACAACGATGCAACAAATTGCTTCATATGGCTTGGCACTTCGCCCAGGATAGACTTGTTCTGAGGCCTCCAGCCCTGCGTTCCACGTTCAACGTCCGGAACATCATGTAACATCGGCAGTTGAAGTAGAATAATGGGCTTCACCTAGAACATCATGTATATAACTTCCACATATGAGTTCCCAAATAACATCAAGTAGAATAATGGGATTCCAGCTTCTGAAAAATCATGTATATAACTTCCACATGGCTGCAAATGACCGTGACACGCAGCAAACGTCCGCTAGGTGCATAGTCAGCGGCGTCATCGTTTTGGTACATGGGTGTACGGCTGTAGAGCATTCCAAAGTCTGGTACCCAACAGTTTATCCGAAAAGAAACGCTGTTTGACGTTCTGCTTTCTCCATCTTCTAGCTATAACATGTCAGAACCTCGTCGCCCAAAAAGCGATGGAGCAGAAGTACCTTCGGCCTTCCACACGCAGGTCCGTACCCTTTGGTTTTTCCGACCGAAGTGCCCATAGAACTTCTTCGCCAGATCCTGGTGCATAAAGGCCTCGAGGGGAGCGGCGCCCACGGCGAAGCAAGGCACGGTTATGGGGCGGTGGACTTGGAACATGTCCTGATTGTGGAGGAAAGAGCTGCAGAGTGATTCTTGTAGTGTCAAATTCCAACAGACATCAGTGGGTCTGGCGCATGAACTCTTGCTGGGCCAAGATGATGAACGGCTCCGCCATCCACCACCTTCTCCCCATGAATTCTCCCCCAAATCCAGCTTCGGCGGCGGGTTGAGGCGACCGATGAACCCGGAATGGCCGCTGGATCCCAAAAGATCTTTGACCGAACATCCTCATCTTCCAAGCTCCGCCGAACACCATTCCGACCCTTCCAACAGACGATTCAATTCGCAGAACGTCCGTGGCCCGCGCTCCATGGTTGCGCTGTGTACGGTTTCCGCGCTCCCGCCCGTTGCCTGCAGGGCTTGTGATGCTAAGTCGGGGTCCTCGACCTTGCGGCAGACGGGAGACGGCGAGGAGTGGTGCGCAGGCTCAGGTGTTTTTTTGGGACTGAAGGGCCGTGGAGAAAACTGAAGAGCGAAATAAAGGCCAAATCAAATACATGGCGTTGATTCATCTAAATGGATTTGGCAATTTGGTCCAGAGTTTGAGGTGTACACTTGGTGAGACATTCAGACATCATATTGCAATTGGTTGATTCTCCACAGTTTCTATGCCGAAGAGTCTCAAGCCTCTACCCGACTCTCTGCTCTGAAAGGACTTGGTATGTGAATGGATCATGAAAGGGGAGGTCTTCCGTCCAAGAAGTGGATTTCCACAAAGCATTCTGGTGCGACTCGGTGCTCTCTTGAAAAAAACGAGTGGCTGTTGCATGTCCCATTCGAGAGGTTCTGGTGCCACTACAGATCTTGGTGAAGAAATGTTCATTCAAGCATATAAAATCATGTAAAAAACATTTGAGATTCTTATCGGTCGTACGGTTGTGTCCCAGTTCACCAGACCATGCTCAGTCCAAACTGCTGGGAACATGCCACCCACCGCGTTGACAAAGGTCTCGAAGCCTGGGGGAAGGCTCCCGCGCCATCCGCACCGCGGAGCGCGCTGAAAAGCGGTCGGAGAGCGAGCTAGGCGAAAGAAACCGCTGGAGGATTTCGGGTCATGGTATGCCATGTGGTCATATATAGTCATATATGTGTCAGACATACGGTTATTTATATTTATATATATATATACAAAGGAGCATGGTTCTTCTTCCCCAAAAAGTTCGAAGCTGTTTGCCATGTGCATTGTTTCTCTCCCCCCAAATGACATCTGATGATGTGGTCAAACAGCTAGCACATTCAACCAATAGGGTGACTCGATTCTTGCCATCCCCCATGTGACCATGTGCATCCGCTGCATTTGACATGGGTCTTGGAAAGAAACTTGCATTTAAACCTTCTGGTGGAACTCAAACCTTTCGCCCAAGACTCTGCTTGACAAAACAAAAACGACTATTGTATAACTATGTATATAACTATATTTTAATGAATTTATATAGTTTGATCAATTGGTATGACCAGGCAAAGGTCCAAAACCTGCCATTTCGAGATGTCCCAAAGCCGTCGAAGCGGACGCTCATCCGCTCCGCCGGACCTTCGATCCAGCAGGGAAGCTCGTCGCGCACCTCATAGCTGGACGCCGAGCGAGCATGTTTTGGTGCGGCTGGACGCCGGGTTCGGTGTGGGACAACAGTGGGACTGAACAAGAAGGGGGGGCCTGAACAAGCCATGCTTCGGTGTGGTGTCAACATGGTTGGAGGTGTGGACGTCCTTTGATTTCGGTCCAGAAAACGTGTGTTTCCTTCGGGGCTGCTTTGAAGTGTTCTTTTTAGGGACCTGCTACTTAGAATCAGAAGTGGTGTGGTATGTCTCTTTTCTTCATTGCATCTACTGGTTGGGGGGTCAGCCCCTATACTTTCTCTCAAGGTACGTGGATCAACATGTCTGGCCCCACGTGCAGATCTATACTTCGTTTTTTCCCCAAACAGTGTGGACACACTAGGAGTTCTTGTTAAGCACCGGTGTCTAATCGGATGTGCTTGCGCGGGCGTGTGCGGCTATTCCGCTGCTATCTACACTACATTCACGCCTCTCCAAAATTCTCGAAGTGCATTTCGACTGCGCAGGCTCGCAAACTCTGCTTGGCCGCGGCGGGCGCTTGTCGCAACTGCGCTCTCGTTGTGGTTCCGTGCGCATTTTCGGACATGGTGGTCACTTTTCCTGGCAGGCGCAAGGGAAACCTCGCGCCTTGGTCCAAAGTCGACTTTTCGTGACAAGTGCAAGGGATCGGAGGAAATGCAGATTTCGTGGCAGGTGCAGCTTTGGACGCCTTGAAAAAAACAAGCCGATAGAACTTATAGGACATATGATGCTTAAGCTTAACTTAAGTTAACATAGTTAGGCGTAAAGATATAACTTATGTTATAACTTATGATCCTTCTCGTAAGGGCGTTCACCCTGCTCAGCTCGATGATCGCGAAACTCACCACACACTTCACATGATCGTTAAGATCGATGGAACGCAGGTTGCTGCGAATGGATCAAAGTCAAAGCCTTGAAGCATTCCAGTTTTCCACTGCCCACGGCGTCCTTCGACTGGACAATCAACACGTGGTCAAACAATGCAGCCTCCAAACACTGCAGACGCACAACAGATCACGCCTCCAGTCCGAGTGCACAAAGCTGCAATGCAAGTGCAGTTGTATGCGTTCTTGATCCTCTGGCATCCCTTCGTCCGGATCACGAATCGCTGAAGGTCGATTCTGGCGATAGATTGAGCAGAACCGAATCGAAACTGATCACCACTGCCCCACTACCAAGGCAACAAAGCTTGCGCTCTGGAAACAGCTGACGACCGTCCAAACGCGGAAAGAAGAAAAAACCCTTTCACTCCGCCTCGTCCCATGCAATCACTCCCTGAGGTGGTGGTCCACGCAGCTCATGGAGGCTCAACCGAGGATCCGCCCAAGTCGCTCATCCACAAGCTGAAACTCCTCCTCCTCATCCAAGATGTAGCACGGCTCAGCAACAATGCTCTCTACGTCCGACTCAGGATCCTGATCAAGAGCTGGCAGGATCGGATCCCTCCGGGCAGGCAGCATGCTGTTCTGAGCCTGCTCAATGAGGCATGCAATCAACCTGCCTCAGCCGCTACTTGCTGAGTTGCACGGGCGTGCGCAGGATTCCTCCGACACTGAGGGTGTGCGCTGATGCGAAAGAACAGCCGCTGAAAGTACTCGCAAGGTCAGCACGGTATACTCTTCCACCGGCGCCTCCAATTCTGACCAGCTCGCCTCTCATTGCGAACCTTCGTCACACGTTCAACCACCCTTGGAGAGCATTCGCGACAATCCATGCAACACTCACACAACAGTGCGATGCGGCAGCGACAAAGGATGCAGGGCGTCGGGAACCCCACTTGATCCAATATCCCGCGATTGATTGATGGATGAAGCTGAGGATCACAAACTCTTCGTTTCACAAGTGGAAAGGATCTATCAAGCAAAAGGCGGTTAACTCAGCTCAACTTCTGAACTATTGAACAATGAGGCAAAGCAATGAGGTACAGGACACTTACAAAGATCTATGCGAGAAGGTCTCAGTATCACGCAAAATTTTAAGCAAACACAGTGATCTGGCACTAATATGGATTATGGAGGTAGAACTACTACTCTAGGTCGGTGTTGCTCGTATATATATGTGCAAAATCCCCGACCCCACGGAACACTGTCCTCTGAAATGCAACGCAATCGGCCTGGGACAGTGCAAAGTCAAGTATCAAAGATCACTGACCGGCAACTCGATTTAGGTGCTGGATCTAAGATTCAACTAAGCACTGGCGGTGGCGCCAGCTAAAGGAGGGCTCAAGTCCGATAGCAAGCGAATATGGATTGCTGAGGCTGTTAACCAGTTAGTTTACCTTACCACAGCCAAGTAAGGAAACTAATGACCACGCACAAGCAACTGCAAAGAAGCGCCTTTTTCCGGAGTGCTTGAGCCAAAATACAAGTCGGTAAGACCAAGATGAATCATGACAGTGCATGTCATGTCCAATGTTTACCTGGATGAAAGGGTGTACTATTCACATGGTGTTTCACTTGTGAAATTCCAACTGAAAACAGTTGGATTTATACACGGAAAACAGCTGGATTCATTCCCAATTGAACTCAATAGCCACTTGTCAGAAACTGGATACCTTGCTGTTGTAGGGTCATTTTCTACAGGGCCATGTTCAGCTGGCATATATGCCTGTGCGACTGTGCATGTTAGGTCGTGCATGTGAGTTTCCTCGTCGACCTGATCAACTCCTCCACCTCCAAAAGCATGACTGTAAACAACACTGACTGCAGGGATCCCAAAGAGAATTTGACTGTGTTGTTTTGGTGTTCTCTTTTGACCGGTTTCCCTCCTCCGCCTCCAAAGGACACATGCCCGGCTGAGTCACTGGCCGAAACAGTTGTTTCCCCACTTTTGAAACGGTAATTAGAGTGGATTTCTTCCACAAAACAAACAAACCACCCGATCTGCCAAAATGCTAGAAAAGACACACGACAGACTATACTATAGTACCCTCAAACAATCATGGAAGTGGAAGTACAGTTCCAAGGGGCCATGTTCCACTTCCGCCCATGTTTATAGGGTATGATCTATAGGAGTGCATCAGAATCGCCCCTGTTCGATTGAAACGCTCAGTTCCAATCCCCGTTCCCGTGAACCCGTCAGCTCTGGCGCCAGGAGCTCCAGGTCCGCGCGTGCCAGTTGACAGGTCTCCAGGAGCCAGGCCTGGAACGACGACTCTCGGTGGACGGTCGAACAGGTAGCCACGCCTAGCTCGTGAGGTTTCCTGTCGTGGGAGATGAGGTGAAAACAGATGGGAGACAAGGGATGGCCATTACACTCCGTCATACAATGTGCCAGTGACGGTTCGGTTCCACATCGCATGGGGGAAGTCTTCTCGCTGCGTGGATCCCCGACGGCGCCGTGCGGCCGACTCCTCCGGCGGGTCGACCGGCCGCCTGCGTCTCCGGTGCTGCCAGCAGCTCGAAGCGCGGATCAAACTCAGGCGCCGAGGCGTTGTCCAGCTGGAGCGCAGGTGGTCGAAGCGTTCCCGTTGTGGGGGTCCATGTGAGAAAGTGAGATTTCCAAGAGGAACCGGGTGCGAAAAATTATGAAAATATATTTACAGTAGTATTTAGGCCGAGTCTGAAAAATTGAGATCTTCTTTCACCCTGTCACTGGTAGTGGGACACACCTTAGGCAGAGAATAGGAGTGGGTAGGACTTGGAGCCAGCAAACTTGAACACACCCTGAAGTAATCAAAAAATAAATCTCCTGAAAACCATTTCTATGAAATCAGAATCGGTTCCGCATGTGCTCGGTTATTTATGGGTTCAACCTCAAAGAAATGTCCGCTTGCTCTGAAGAAATGAAACCGCTAATTACCGTGCGCTATGTAAATGCCTACATAACCATCACTTTCGAAGGAGATTGAACATAAAAGAGATTGATTGGTTGAACTCCTCAACCTGGGAACTGCCCTCTCTGTACGTCTCCCCAACCGTCGACCCAAAAAAGACCGCCCTTGTCGCCTCATGGCCCTTTAAGCCCCAGGTGAGGATGATGTCGATGCAGTTCAGCAGCGGCACCTTCCAGTCGGGTGTCAAGGAACAGTCCACCGCGCTGTAGCCGCTGAAGCAGCTGCACACGCCCGTGTCCTGGAAAGCACGAGTCCAGCAACCACTTCAAGATTTCTGCCAGTGGAATATGGTGATTCATATCCAAAAACCAACATCGCTGCGAAGTGATCAAGTCCCATCATCCTAAGGCCCCACCTTCTATGAGCGTGTCTGTTTTCTAACCCCACACACCAAAGGTCCGACCGACCTCTCAGGGTTCGGCTCCCCAACGGCGTTCGGACGCCCAGACGCCACCGGCGCCACCCAAAAACCGTCCGTGTCGCAGTCGCCGGACTCACTGCAGTCGTTGGGACACCGCAAGAGCTCCTCGGATCGGTCGAGGCATGTCGTCTGAGCCGAGGGTGTCTTCGGCCAGCGAAAAGCCAGAACTTCCGTTTTTATTCAGAAACTACTCCAGTTGGGAGTCCATCACTAATATGATTCTCATCATCCATTTGCAGCTGCCACAATCTATAGCAACGGGATAGAGGGCAGCCCACGAAATCTTGTCCCGAGAAAACGCTTCAGGCAAACATGCGGGCCGAAGACCCACGGAATGAAAAAGGTCAGATAGCACACATTACACTTAGCGAAGGCAATACCCAATTGGGCAATAGCAACTGCCAAAACAAGCCCGTGTCGGAAGATCCGGAGCAGCTTGAAAAGCAAACCATCCCCACTTAGTGGTGCATCTCGGCTGAAAACCCCTGCAGTGAGGAGGCAATCCTCCAAATCCGCACGAACAGGTGCGAAGTGGCGAGCACTAGCCACGTACCTCGATCTCATTCTTCAAAAGCCTGATGAGCAACCTGCATGGTGTGGAAATGCAACAACATGTCACTTAGATCATTGTTTTGCAATCAAAAACCTCCACCACCCATATCGAAAGTTCGTGGGTTTTCCATATGCCCTGAACTCTGTGTAGATCTGTTTGTAGTCAGACTTGAACTTGCCCAGATCAGCCGCAACAGGGTGTATCGCAACTTCTCGTGTATTCCAAAAGTAGCGCGCAGAAGCTGGGAGTTTGCTTGTTGAATGCCATGCCGGCTATGGTGCGGTCATCAATGGAAGCCCAAGTTTTGAGCAACGGGCTTATCGCAAGGAGCCAATGAAGTAGCAAGGGCCATAGGCACAAGCACCCTGAGAAATTTTTCCAGTTGGACCGTTAACAGGACAAATTCGGCTGGCTCCGCAAGCTTGCTTTAAAGTGATTCCGAAGCCTGCTTCGGGACATGGTGTCTGAGCGCAAAGGCCGCAAGATTAGGAGACAGATGGTCCAAATAGCTTTTGCCAAGTCAGTTGCGGCTATGTGACTTGGCTGTGAAGAGAGAAAATCAACAGTAGCATCCGCCACTGAAGATCGAAGTCTACCATTGCCCCCGCGGAGGGGCCCGCACTTTCGCAACAGGCATTCGTGCCAAGCACAAGCAAAGACGGAGGCAATACTAATTGGGCGACCGTCAACCTTTATTGCAATGGCCAACATCTTTCCAGGACCATATTTGGTTGATAAGAGCTTGGGGGCACCTGTTCTCAACCGCCAGCTCCCGATCGCAATGGCCTCAACCGCCAGCTCCCGATCGCAGTGGACGCTGGCGGACCTCAACCGCAGTGCCAGATCGCAGTGGGCACTACCGGACCTCAACCGCAAGTGCCAGATCGCAGTAGGCACTACCGGCCTTCAACCGCCAGCTCCAGGTCGCAGTGAGCACTACCGGACCTCAACTGCAAGTGCTAGACCGCAGCGGGCACTAACGGATTTCAACCGCAAGCGCCAGATCGCAGTGGGCACTACCGGACCTCAACCGCAAGTGCCGGATCGCAGTGGGCACTACCGGACCTCAACACACAACACACAACTGTGAACACACAACCACAAGCACAAACACAACCACAAACACACAATCACAAACACAACTAAAAACACACAACCACAAAGACACAAACACTACCAACCACAAACACACAGAAACAAACATAACCACAAAACCACCAGCACAAACACAAACCCCACAAACGCAACCACAAAAACACAACCACAAGCACACAACCACAACACACTCACAACCACAAACACACAACCACAACCACAAACACACAACTACAACAAAATAACTACCTGTGCACATGAAGAGCAAACAACAAACAGATCGGTGCAAATTGTTTGTTTTCACTTAGGCCATCTCTAAAAATTGCTCTGCCCAGCCCTCAGCATATACATTACGTTTGTTGTCTATACTCACAATGATTGGGTGTAGTTTTCAACTGCTCTGCAACACGCTGAAAACATAATTAAGGGTGTCTTTTTTGTTGTATCAACTGAATGGGTTCTCCAAATACAAGAAAATACAATCTATAGGTATACGCCCCCCATTTCATAGAAGAAGTTTGACGAGGAGATGTGAATCTCGATCTAAGGATCTTATTTCGCAACATCTCTCCAAAAAGCCTCACACAAAGTGAGAAGGATGTGAGGAATGTACAGTAGGTCTTTCAGAGTGGCTCTTACCTTTTGAATCCTTTTGAAAGGCTAGTCATGCGCTTTCGAGAAAATCGAACCTAACACCTCGGGTGTCTGAACACCCAAATACCGCCTTCAATATACTTCAATATGTTCTAACACCACCTCAGGCGATGTTCCTCATCCCCTCATCCCCGTCCACTGTTCCTCAACGCCCACGGATGACTGGGTCGCAGCGAAAAAAAAAACATCTCCAAGGGTCACATCGATCGCCTTGGAAGCCTGCTGGGCAGTCACAGGCCCAATTTCCACCGCTGGCGTCCTGATCGGCACAGAGTCACAGAGCAAGTGAGCTAAGCTAAGCGTCCAGCTTGTTTCGACACGGTCGAAGTTCTTCACGAATTGTCATTTACACTTGGAAGTCGCCCTACAAAGCCAAACAGAGGTTTGGCTGCTTCTTATGAGGTCGTTCTGTTCTCGAAAGACCACCTTGGCTTGGTACCCAAACTAAAAACGCGAAACGGTCGACCAAAGCCATCGGGGGGGGATGGTGCTTCGGGGTGCCCCGGGTTCAACTCGGACCAATCACTCTCGGGCGAACCGGTTCGGCGAACCGGACGAAGGTGCCAAGTGGGGGAGAAGAAGTTTTGGCACCTCAAACTTGGGATTGCCTGAACCAATTTAAGAGTCGATGATGATTGTAAGGGTCAACCATAACCTCTGGGCAGGCACTCATCCAATGTGTCTGGAATGTGCTGACGCGCACATGTCATAGTCATACCCACTTTGTCTCTAGTCCAGAGTCTGAGCTGCGTGGCAGTGAACTAAAGAAGCGTCGACATCAACAAAAGAGAGTTTTCAAGTTGGGTGTTCCCTTATGATTGCCACAGTCGAAAAAGGTGTATCACAAGGGAACCAACTACCTACGTTTTGGTTTAATGTTTATGGTGAGGTTGGTGGATCTAAGCAACTTCTGAATTAACAATAGTAATAGTAAGATATATATAATATAATATATATATAATATACTAAAGATATAAGCCTGGCACACTTAGAGTCCACCTCAGTCCACCTCCAGGCGACGGAACTGGCACTCCTGTGATTCATTGGAGCAGGTCCCATTGTTCTCGCAGCTGGGGCAAACACGCTCTGCACAGCTGGGCCCCGCATAGGTCTCACTGCAACTGCACTGCCAGGGCTTCGAGGGCTCCTCCGTGGCTTCACACCTTGGCACCGAGTGTGGCGTGGGCTGCTGTGGCAAGGACACCACAGACGGTGGGGAAGGGCCCATGCCCAACAACTCCACTTGGGGACCTGTAACAGTCACCCAAGCCTCGGCCGCTCCTCGCGCCAGGAGCCACGGCATGCGACCCGGCCCATTTGGGCCAAGCGAAGCCCGGTGGGCCCTTAAACAAGGAGAGGTTTGAAGGTTGATGGACCATGACCAGTCCACCAAACAATATTTCTCACAGTGCTCAAATGGAGCAGCTCATCAATCATTGCTGGCAGAGAGTCCCTTCCGCCCCCAACCAGTGCAATACCTCGTGTGCCTAAAATCGGATCAAGGCACACCCCATGAAGCCCACCACAAACAGGCTCCCCCGGGCAAAACCTGGGCGTTCGGATGTGTGGGCAAAACAGGTCGCCTGCGGTCGAACACTGGGACACCGCCTGGCAGGCAGAAAACGACGATCAACCACATATATATATATTATATTATATATATATATATATTATATATGTAATATCATGTAATACATTATGTATTATAGAGATATAGGATCCGTCAATGTCCCTCATTTCACGGCATGTTGCACATGTCCTATTCAATGCATGTTTGACATGTTCTACCTTGCTGGACCTTGCTCAATCACCTCAACTACAGCTCCATTCTGGGCTGTCCCTTAAGCCTTGGGCCAAACTTGTTTTCCCCTCCCGTCTCACATCCAATCATCCACAAATCCTTTCAGAACCCCTGCCCCCCCCAAAAAAGCAACCCCTTTCAGCATCCAAACCCTTCCACAAATCATTGCATCTTCCACAACCTTCGAGTGACAGGGTGGTGCTGGTCGTGCTGGGCGGCGGGGTCGTCTCCACTTCAATCCACGGCGTCTCCACCGCGCGGAGCACCTCGGTCGCGAGCTGCGCGAGCTGCGCTCGCTGCACAGGTGGATCTGCTCCGAGAAAGGGGAATGGATGGCTTTGGGGCTGAAAGCTTTGGGGGGTTCAGAAAGAAACGAATTCTTGAGACCCACATTGTTGGAGGTGGCCGCGCGCTTTGTTTAAGAGGAGAGAAAGAAAGAAAGAAAGAAAGACAGAGAGAGAGAGAGAGAAAGAAAGAAAGAAAGAAAGAAAGAAAGAGAGAGAGAGAGAGAGACAGAGAGAGAAACAAAAAATAAAAATAGAAAAAGACAAAGTAGATGAGCATAGATGATCTGAAATTGGGACTCTGAGTCTAACAGCCTTCCTGCGGCGCTCATTCCTCCAAACATATACCCTCAAGTTTCCTCAAATCTGTTTGAGGAACAATCTTCCTGCATTCCCTGGCATGAGGAAAGCATTGGTATTCACTATGCGGTGGTGTAGCAATGTGTTTAATTCTTCCACATCACAGTCAAATCACCCATTCTCAAAAACATGTCCAAAAACCCGCAGAAAATAGGATCTACAAAAGAAGCCACTTCGCTCACCCGTTTTCCCCACATGCCAAGCTGCTAAAACCACCTCGGCTCCAGCCAGATCCAGCGCGTCACTCAAGGTCTCCCCAAACGAGCTGAGCGGCTCCTGCCGGCGAGCTCGGTTGAAAGATGTCGACAAGCAACACCAGAAAAAGCCCTTGTGAGTCGGTGCTGGGGTGATCAACACCCATTTCCGCAAGCAGCCAACTACTTGGCCAAACACCCTTCCCCTCCGTCCCAGCTCCGTCCCAGCTCGGCCGGAAACCGCTAGACCGTCACTGCACCGGTTCCTCTCGACGGGGTGCCACGCTCGGCCGGGCCGCTCCTCTCGGATCTGCGTGCGCACCTTTGCCACGGCGGCCATGTCTAGCGAGGGTGGGAGGTCGATGGTGTAGTCCACCGTCATGGGACTCGATGACCTGGAGAGGGGAGGCCGAGGTCCGCCCCGCGATGGGAGGCGGACCCGGTCCGAGGTCAGGAGTTGGTGAAAGGAAAGGTGGAACAGCGGTGCTGTTCGTGGTTCGCGTGCCGCCAAACCCATGTGTGACGGTCTTTGTCTAGGATCTATACACCTACAGAGTTGACCAGTTTCTCTGGACACATATCAAAACCAAGAGGGGCTCCACACTCTACACACAGCTCTAAAGCTTTCTTTCTTTCGCGCTTGCCAGGCAGCTCTAGAGCTCTAAGAATATATATTCCTCATTGTTTCTCAATGTTGCCCTCTCCTTTTCGACCCACCACCCGCACACGACCTCGAACCCGACACCAATCGTTGAACCAAAGACCCACCCAAGACCGACCCGCCGGACGTGAAGAGATGCATCGATCTCACAAGGGAGTGGGTCAGGTGTGTGGGTCAGTTGAGTTCAACAACTGGCGCCCAAAGGTTAAGGCCAGATGTCGTTTCGCCCAGAAATCGCTCTGAGAACATGGGGTTGGTTAGGTTGGTGCGTCCTCTCGAGCCAGGGGACAAACGTCGCTCTTCCCCCGGTTCCTCGGAACGGAGCCAAGTCAGCCATCGAAACGACGAAGAAACACGTGTCAGCACGGTCAGCAAATGGTGTTTGTTTGTTTTTTTGTGGAACACAACTGCCGAACAAAAAAAATGGTTTATGGATATATTGTATGCATGTTTGTTTGTTTTTGTTTATCAGCGTTTTCGTCTTTTCGATTTGGCGTGTGTGTTGAGCAATTTGACATCGAGACAAACCGGCGTAATATCATTCTCAAAATGTGGGAGGAGCGCAATAGCTGATCAACATAAACATGAAGCCTGTGAGCACGCAGCAGGTTCTGAGAGCTTTGTTTGGCGGCATCACCCCAGTTCCACAGTTCCATTTTGCCAAGACTTCCCCAATCGAATGATCAAAACATCTCAGCCACATGTCGGCTCACACCCAGGAGCACTACGTCAATCTGATCGGTTAAGCAAGCAGAGTGTCAAGCCGTCAAGCTATGTGAATTTCTGAAGCTGCTAGTTTTAACCAGAAAACTGCAAGTGTCAAGCTGTCCCTCCACGTCGATTCTCACATGCTCTCCCGTTGGAAGAGTAGAACTTCTACCTAAGAGAAATCTCTTGAGCCGCCTGGCTTCTTAGGTATACATGTAACATAGTTGTAGCTACCTAAGAGGACCCTGAGTACCTTGCAGGGACCAAAAAGGCTCAACTTGTTGGCCTCCAAGCTGCTGGCAGTGTGACACGCACCCAGGAGGGATCCACTCCAGCCACCTGCGGTGGATCGGAGCAAAACCTCCCAACACTGGTGGCCCTCCGCACAGGTTGCACGGGTCGAAGGGATTTGCTCAAAAGCTGGAATGGTACCCCCGACCTGACCAGAGATTCGGGCTACTTGGTGGTCTCATCCAAATTCCTTTACGGGAGAAGAGAATTTGGAGATTCTTCTTTTCTTCTTCTTCTCCTTCTTCTTCTCCTTCTTCTTCTTCCACTCTTAGAAGCGTCATGAACTTGAAATAGTATCGAAGCTGTTAAGCCCACAAGCAGTGGAGAACGGGCCAAATCCTGTGGTCATTCTGTTACTGCAAGCTAGCTACAATTCCGCGACAGGATCCTCGAAGAGAGGATGGGTCGAGGATTCTTGGACCAAAGAAACGCACTGTCGAGGATGGTGTGTCCTTGAAAATTGCTCCCCCGCAAACCGCCCAGGTACACACGGAGTCTCTGGGCCTCGGCAATGCCGTTCCGCAAGCCTTCCTCCACCGCCTCGTCGGTCCAATTGCCTTGGTTCCACGGCACGGCGCGGGCCGCGGAAACGTGCAGCACAGCCGCCGGCAGGTCTTGGTTGACTGAGACTTGGGTCGTTGTTTGGACACCAGGAGACTTTACTGTCATGTTTGCCATGTCTGGTTGATCTGTCGTCTGCGGTGGATGGTTGGGGCGGTTTGGGATTCCCGCCAGACCTCTCGGTGTTTCCTTTTGTCAGTCTCCGGGATTCCTATATCTCTTTCAGAACCCTACTGGCTTGACCAGGCCCAGTCAACGAGTGGTCCCCGAGGCATGGATCCTTTTGAGTACACTGCGACTCACTAGCATGGAAGTGGACGGCCAGGCCTTTGGGGAAGATGATGTTCCTTTGCAAACAGGGAGGTGAGCTCCACTTCTGAACGTGAGTTTTCAGTGTACGTACAGGTACACCAGACCAAATACTGGCCACCGATCACCAAACCAAACTGGAGCGCCAAACGGTCGGTGCATCGACACCAAATGGACGGTCCCGACGAATAAAACTCTTGGTGCGGCTCTCGTCCACTCCTGTCACCCACATTCCAAAGGCACTCAATTCGATTGAAATGGATCCAGAGATGATGTAGTCCTTGGTTTGCACGGAAAACAAGCGACATGGAATCAAATTCTATCGAGGAAAGGAACCAGCAAATGTTGGGAGAATCGAACGAAGGGATCACCGCTTTGGGCGCAGTGGGGATCTGTTTTCGGACGCAGTCGGATTTTTCTCGAATGGTCACTGCAATAATAGTATTGCACGACCGCTCACAACCACAGGCTCGTGGAGAAAAACACATAATTAAGTATAAGGATTTTGCCTCTTTCTGTTTTGGAGGGGGATGACCAAATCCATACGAACACAACAAAGTACCCTCGCTTGAGATTGCGGGTAGCTTGCGCACGGAGAAGGAACTACCCCAAATTTTGCGTTGAAACAGGTAAGAATCCCCTGCCATGCTTGGGGCCCAACAAGGGCTCAGTCACTTGTTGCCCCTTTTCAGAGCATTCTTGGGAGCCCCTTTCAAAGGAAATAGCAGTCTTGAAGGAAGAGCCCCCTGGACCAATTAGGATGCTTGTCATATGAGGTATCACACCAACTGCACGCACTTGGTTTCCACTGAAAACCTCACCGCCGAGCTGTTTGCTTGGAAAACAACGGTGAATTGTTTTTGCTCCCCTCTCATTGTTTCTTTGTTTGTGGAAACCCATGAACATATATGAACACCCATCCCAGAAATGGCTGAAAATGGCAAACATCAAGACCAAGCAGGCTGACCACTGTCCTCGGACATGAAAAACCCTCCACCCGGTTTAACCGGACAAGCACCCGACCCACCCCCCCTGCGCAGTGGCCGCCGGCGCAAGCGACGCGACCGGGACGAGCGTCCGGCCCCGTGGAGGTCGTCGTCGCGGTGCTGCTGCTGTGGGTGATGCTGGAAGAGCTTGTGGTAGCCTCCGGCACCGCACTGTGCACGCTGGAGGTGAAAACGTGTTCTTACGTGTTCTTTTTTGCTTCCGTTCCGTTGTGAACAGGCTGGAGAGAGATAAATGTCAAGCAACACTAGTCACCTGCTTTGTCGATTTCGATTGAGCAATGGAAGTAGTGGTGAGCCAAAGAACTCAGAAACCGTTTGCTCGTCGCCCCTACGAGTAGGAAGGGGATCGGCCGTCTCGACTCGATCGACCTTCTCGACGGGTCGAATCCACACTCGTCCCGGCGATGTCCGTGTGGTGTCGAATGGTTAAGTTGGGTGGTTTACATGGCCCCCATATATACATCCTTGGGCTTGTGCTATCTCCTACACTGTACGGCGACTGTCCCAGTCACTGTGCTGCTGGTGCTGGTCGTGCTCCGGGTGCTGGTCGAGGAGGACGTTTCGCTGCTGGTGGTCCTGGAGGTTGTCGTGATGCTGATTGTGCTGGTGCTACCTCGACAACAGCACGGCGAGAAGTCGACTGAAAAGAAAGGTCACACATCTTCATTATTCTTCATCAATTTTGGAGTATCTTTCTTTTGTGTATCTTTATGAAGATCTTTATGAGTATAAAGTATACTGTTGACGAGTATCGAACAAAAAAGGGTGCCACAATGTGCCACACCCCTTACCAGCTCGAGATGGTGGTTCCTGAGCCCCTATCTACGCGGTGGGTTTTCTATATCAGTCTCCTGCCTTTCTATCAACACGTCGCTGAAAAACAACCCAAACTCTGCCAAAGGACTGCTGCTGATCGTGCTCGTGCTGATGCTGCTGGTGGTGCTGCTCAGGCTAATGCTGCTCAAGCTGCTGCTCGTCTTGGTCGACGATGTTTGGGAGGTCCTCAGCTCCGTCGCTGCAGAAGGAGCCGGTCAAACCGCCGCCCGGGTCGCACCGGTTTCGGAAGAACCGGATCTGGACACCACAGTCCTGGATAACACCCAATGCTTGACGTTGCTTGAGCCTGAAGCCTCGCATTAGCAATGAAACAGTTTGGAATTGGAATGCAACAAGAAATTACACCGCCAATTTTTGGTGGGTCAAACACGAAGCTGCACTGCCTGCATTTTTCCAGGCTCAGGACAATTACCTCGTCTCATTGGATGGGTAAAACCAATGCAATTGAACGTTTGGAACTCTCCAGCCCCCCCAAAAAATACACTTCTGCAAGGCTCTCGGTACCGGAAGTCGAAGTTTGCGTCGTTCGGGTGGAGGAGGTGCGTGTCGAGGAACTCAGGCTGCCTGAGTAGACAGGAATCCCGACGACTCGACGCAGCGACGGGCGAGTCCCAGAGTGTCGGTGTTCAAGGCACCTTCTAAAAACACAAGCCAGAACGAGGAAGGGGACTTTCTGACCCCGGTCGCGCGTAACCTTGTGCAGCATTGGGTGCTCGCCTGCCTAAATTAACCATTGCATACCATTGCAGTAATTAGCTGATTCACCATCCAAGTAGGCTTGGGCAAAGGTTTGGGTAAACTACCTTCTGCACCAAGACCTTCAAGACACGCAACATGTATGTGCCTTGGGTGTTACCGGAGCCGAGCACAGCTGTCCTATGCTGTCAATCAGCTTTGCCGCTTTCTTTCGGTCCACCCAATCACCTCCTCGATCACATCTACACCCCAGAACAAAAGAAGAAAAACAACACTCAACACACTTGGATGAGGAAAGAGAGGGAAAAAATGACTCAACTCATTTCCACTGGTCAATGACCTCTCTTCGACTCTCTCCCGCAAAGCTTTCACCAGGCATTCCACCCTCTCATCTCCCCTTTCATCTCTCCTCCCTTCGCGTCTCTGCCTGTGGTGCTCACCGTGGAGGACGTGGAACTGCTGAAGGTGGCCGTGGAGCTCGTGGTCGAGGACGTGGTGTGACTCGTGAAACTTCGGGAGCTGCTGCTGCTGCTACTGCTACCTGGAGGGACAAACGCCGGGTCCCGTCGCATGCCGTCAGCGGGTCGCAGCTGCGATGCTTCGCTTGGTCTGCGAAGCATCGATGGTGACGGAGCGGTGGGGCGACGAAGACAGCGTAGCTTTCCGGTGATGAGATGTCATGTCGAATGTCCGGGTCTGTTCCCCATGGCTTGGGGGACCAGTGACCTGTTCATGGAATCCACCAACCGGTTCGGAAAAATCATGGTGGGGCGAACTTAGCCCAAACAAAGCGCAGTTGGGCTCGGCACCTGAAATCCCTTTAAAAGATGCTCTATCAAAGGGCCTTTGCTCATTACATAAACGGCCATAGTGGAATCCAGCTGGTAGATCCGGTCCATCAAACGGTTTGTGCCTGAGCAAATCTCGAGTCGAGGTTACTCTAATAGTGTTCAGCAGAATCTCCTGCTATCTTTTTGGATGTACCCCAGCACCAGTAGGATATCGTCATGTGCCGTACGGAGCGTGTCGTGTTCTTTTTGTCCAGCCAGTCCCCAGGATATAGTATGACGCAACCTGCCAATCAATCAGGATCAATGTATATAGGATACAAACTGATATACGCATGGAAGGTACCAAGCACAATTTGGAAACATTAATATACTGCTCAAGGACAACACTGACGCCATCTGGTTCTGATTCTGTACTACAGAGTAGCATCCCTTAGGCATGTTTCTTGCAGTTGCCAGGTGTTGCCCAGAACAGCAAACAGTGTTGATTTTAAGCCTCATCTACTTTTCACGTGGCTGACCTATCACACACCAATCATTGTTCTTTGAAGGATAATGCATGTCTTATTGAAACATATTGAAACATGCAACAGAGACCCCTATACAGAGTCCTATTTAAAGCAACTGAATTTGAATGATATGGAATGAGACGTTTCCCATATGATGAACCTCATGAGTATCCCTGATGAACACCCCAGTTCTCAGATGTAGGAAAAGCTTGACATTCCGTCTGTGATTGATGGATATTGCTTGGAGATGTTGTTTCCTGAACGCCTGCAACGCCTGATGTGTGGGGCACGGGTTCATCAGAACGAGCTCGAGAGACGACGGCACGGGTTCATCGACACCTGGCTCGTCTCTGGGCCGAGAGTCTGGTGCTGCCCCCGGTCGTGGTCAGCGAGCTTGTGGAAGTGCTGAAGCTGCTGGTGCTTTGCGTCGACGACGACGTCGAGCGGCTGGTGCTGGTGGAGGTGGTTTGAGTCACCTGGCGACGCCGGTGGACCACGACACCGGTGGCCCCTCGTGGACTCAGGATGGAATAATTGAAGTCGAAGCCACGTTCAAAGAGATTGCAAAATCTGTGATTGATGACATCACACGTCTGATCCTGTCTGTTTAGTCACCCTCATAAGTAATATTGAACCCACATGGATCCATATTGAATGAAGTCGAATTACATACGTTGATTCTTCTACATGTCACATATTTAGCTTTTTTTGCATCAGCTTGGGAAGTATTTGTCTGTTGCTGCAGAGTTCATGTAATTAGAAGACAAAGGTACCAAAATGATAGAGAATCAGAACTGATGTGATTGTTTTGCATACTCCGAATATCTCCGTGCTGGTTCTGCACTTTGCAGCCTCATGCAGCAACAAAAACATACATAAACATGCCGAGCAGCAGTGAGGGTCATGCTGCTTGTGGCAGTGAAGCTGGTAGAGGTGAAGCTAGCTGTGGTGGAGCTGGAACTGCGACTGGTGCTTGTGCCAGTCATCGTCCTGCAGGCGTCACTCGAAGTCAACGGGGATGTGGGCCATCTGTAGCTCCAAAAAGGGACACTCTCCAGCCAAGGGGTAGACTGGTCAATTGTCCTTCTTCCTAGTGGTTTTGAGGAGTCTCCTTTTGAAGTACTCATCCATCTGATTCGCGGACGCGTGTTCCATACACATGCCTTCCCAAAATTCCGGCTCGCTCGCGGCCTTTGCGTGGCTCAACTCGTACCATCCGTTTTGTCATCTGACCATGGGATTCACACTATTCACAAGCTCTGCAAAACAGTTGATAGGTTGATTCTGCCAGTTGACAACCAAAGCTCCAAGCACGGGCTTGTGTTCATATCTGGTCCCTGCTAGTCTTCTTGTATCTTCTCGGGCCAGGATACTTTGGTGTAACACACACCAGACCCCAGATTCACACAGAAACTGAATGTCAACCTCTCAAACAGTCCATGCTCTTTTATAAGAGACCAGTGCTGGTATGTTATAGATCTTCAACCATCCTCAAGGAGAATACATCTACATCGAATGGAGGTCCCCAAGTAGATTAGTAGAAACAGTTTCCAAAACTAATACATCGTTAGGGTGGATTTGCTCTTTGGGCGGGCAAAAAAAGATGACTCCAACTTGGATGTCCGACCTCTTTTTTCGCCTGGTCTTCACACCTCCTTCGCCCAGTACATCCCCTCCCCCCCTCCTGCCCTGCCTGGTGACAGTGCTGGTGACGCCCTCCCGTTGATCCACTGGACCGATAGAGGTGACGGCGAGTTGCAGGTTGGAGCTGCCGGCGTCCAAGGCAGACTGAAGTTCCTGGGAGCGTTTGAGCGGAGCGGAGTCGATGGATGGATGGATGGATGGATGGATGGATGGATGGATGGATGGATGGA